GGCAGCAAGGGGGGGAGGTTTGGGAGAAGAGAAAGGAGGAGTGAGGGATTCAGGTCACCAGGAGAAAGCAAGGAGAGAGAAGGACACACAAACTAAAGGGCCTCGAAAACCACATCCATAACAATCCAATACAGTCCATCCCAACCCACCACACCCCAAACCACCCCACCGCGCACCTGCATGACGCCGGGTGCAAGTGGCGCCTGCCCGGCAGTGGTGGCTCCCTCGTGGGTGACAGGTGGCATGTAGTGATTGGCCAGCATGGTCGCCAGCTGCTGCTGCTGATCGTGCACTTGCGAGAGAGAGTGCCACGTGGACACCAGACTGGGGGGGAGAAGAGGGAGAGAGAGGGGGAAGAGGGGGGAGAGGGTGGGGAGTTAGGGGAGGAGAGGGGTGGGAGAGGGAGGGGGGAGAGGGGTGGGAGAGGGGGGGGACAAGGGGGGGAGAGAGGGTGCAGGATGCATGGGAAGGGGGGGTGCTGACGAAGAGGGAAAGAACACGTGGGCGGACGGACACGTGATTGAAGAGTTGACTTTTGAGTTGACTCAAAAGGGTTTTGAGACGTCTCAGAACCCTTCTTCAATCACATGGGAAGGGGGGGTGTTGACGAAGAGGGTAAGAACACGTGGGCGGATGGGTGTGGGGGGGGGGGGGGGGGAGGGGATGAGGAGGGAAGGCGCATCTGTGCGACACTTGTGGGCGAGGGAAGGAACACTTGCGTCATGCTCACTTGCAGCCAAGAGTGGGAGTGCCACTGAAAGAGGGCGAGTGCCACGAGGACAACAGACAGAGGACCGAGGGGGCGAGGGAGGGGGAGGGGGTGGAGAGAGAGGGAACGCGGAGGGGAGGAGCATGTTCGTCACGCTCACGAGCAGCTGAGAGAGGGAGTGCCATGTGGTAACCAGACTGGAGAGGGAGTGCCATGTGGTAACCAGACTGGAGAGGGAGTGCCATGTGGTAACCAGACTGGAGAGGGAGTGCCATGTGGTAACCAGACTGGAGAGGGAGCGCCATGTGGTAACCAGACTGGAGAGGGAGTGCAATGTGGTAACCAGACTGGAGAGGGAGTGCCATGTGGTAACCAGACTGGAGAGGGAGTGCCATGTGGTAACCAGACTGGAGAGGGAGTGCCATGTGGTAACCAGACTGGAGAGGGCGGGTGTGGTGGGTTTCGAGGGAAACGAGGAGGGCACTTGTGCCACGCGCAGCTGCTGTTGATGATCATACGCCATTCGGGCGCTGTGTGCGTGTGTACATGCGCGCGCTAGCGCCCGTCCGTCCGTCCGCCCGTCCGTCCGTCCGTCCGTCCGTCCGTCCCTCCCTCCCTCCCTACCGCCCTACCGCCCTCCCTCCTTACTTCCCTCCCCAACGCACCAGGGCAGCAGGCGGAGCAGCTGGGGGAAGAGCAGTTCCGTCTTATACGCCTCCACCGCATGACACGTGGTCACCACGCGCTCGCTCGCGCCCGCCATGCGGTGCTGCACGTCCCCCAGCTTCACCTGCGCGCCCTCCAGCTTGCGCGGATCCGCGTTCGCGTTCCCGCTCGCGCGCGCGGTCTCCTTGCGCACGCGCTTGTCCTTGCTCTTCAACTCCGCGCGAATCGTCTCCATGTCCTGATGCAGGGGGACCGGAGGGGAGGGGAGGGAGAGGCGGAAGGGGGAAAGGGGGGGGGGGGGGGTAAGGGGAGAGGTGAGACCAGTGGGGGTACACGCTCTCGAGAGCTCCGCGCAAGACCAGTCTGCAATCCCCCTCGTTTCATTTCCGGACGCGCCTCGGGAATTTACTCACCCAGATCTTGTCTTTAATATCGCGCTCCCAGTTGAGCAGCTTCTGAACCGTGTCGCCAATACTCTCCAGCTGCCCGCCCTCCTTAGTAGCCGCCGCCACCGTCAGCGGTGGAAGCGCGTTCTTCGGAATGGGCGCCCCGACTTTAAGGAGCTCCACCAGCGCCGTGATCCGCGCGGAAGCTTCTAGGAAATGCGCGTTCACCTTCTTAGCGAACTCGTCCGCCCACTTGTCGCCTAGAACCGCGCCGCCGCTAGGACCAACATAGGCTATTATTTGCCCCGATCCGCCTAGCATCCCCGATGACCCCCCCATCATTCCCGAAGCGCCTGGCGCGCCGAAATTTCCGGAGCTGCTCAGCATCTGCACGGAATTTCCCGCGGGATGCGGAGGGGGAAGCTGCCCCTGCGGCCGCTGCTCCCATCCCCCCGCTCCGCCCGCGGGCGCAGGTGGGGGTGCGCTGTACGCTCCGCCAGGCGGCGGAGGGGGCGGATATGCCCCCGAGTATCTCCCTGAGTAGCCCCCCGCGGGAGGCGGAGCCCCGCCGGGGGAGCCATGTCCGGGGAACGGCGGAGCGGGAGTGCCCTGGGGGGGATATGGCGGCGGAGGGCCATACCCGCCAGAATTGGACTGGTAAGGGGGAGGAGTGCCCTGATAGGGCGGCGGAGTGCCTTGATACGGGGGCGGCGGGGGATACGCGGAACCTCCCGGCGGGGGAGGGTCTCCGCCGCCGATCAGGGGCGGCGGAGGGTAGCCGGAACCGGGAGGGGGAGGAGGGTAATCGGAACCGGAGGGAGGTGGTGGATACTGTGCGGAGTCGTACGGATAGGCTGGCGGAAGTCCGCCGGCGCCTGGCGGAGGAGTTGCGCCAGAAGCCCCCGCCGGGACCGCGCCTCTTGGCAGAGGGGGAGGGGACGGGGAAGGCGCAACGGGCTGCGGCGGAACGGGAGTCGGCGCAGGCAACGCGGCGAAACTTCCGGAACCCGCAAGCACAATCGAATTAGACGCCCCCGACCCACTTTGTTCCACCGCGTTCCCCGCCGCGGACTCCGCCGTATCTCCCGCGGCCGCGCCTTCCCCGGAAACCTCCGACACCTGCACTGGCGGAACGTTCTGGAAGGCCTGCGGCGGAACATTCGCCCCGAGCGCGGAACCGATGAAGATATTCGTCCCCTCGCAGTAGATTAACAGCGCGGTGCCGGCGGTTTTGAGAGAGTCCGCGTAAGCGGAGGACGCGTTGTAGAACTCCTTGTGCGCGTCGACAAGGTCCTTAGCGGCCGACTTTCGCGCCTTGCCATACGCGGAGCCCTCAGAGAGCATCATCGAGGGCATGTGGCTCGATATGCTGCTGCTACCGCACCCCATGGCGGGCGACTACGTAAATAGAATTAAGAACAAATCGGGTGACTATGCAAATAGTACTCTAAAATTACGGGACCACTAATGCGACGGGAAAATGAGACAGAAGCTGCTGAAAATATTGATGGTTCCAGTTTAAGCGCTTATTTGCTTATTTGTGTGAAAAAGATGTCTACGGACCGCACGTGACTTTTGAGTCGACCTTATAGTGAACGCGGACGAGCGACGGGCGGGTACAAACAACGAGGAGGTAGCTGCGAGCAACGGCTGTGTGTTTCAATGAAGCGCACCAAACAAGAAATAGATGATCAAACACAGCCGATAATAAAACGAAACTCAAACCTTCCTTTCCTCTTGCTAGGCACCACTACGCACGAGTCGTGACGACTTGTCGTGACCTTTCAATACTCGCTGCTTCAAGATGCTTTGCTTGTGGTCGAAATATTCCCCCTCCCCCAAAACATCTGGTTTCCACTCTCAGTCGCAGGTGCTCTCAAGCCTAACGAAACACTCACCGACGCTCGCCGTTATTCGTGAAAAACACTCACGACTTTCCATTTCCCCCATTGCGAGACCGTCTGATGTTCGCCAACGTTCGAGGAAATCCTTTCGCGATAGCCGCCCTCGCGGGCAAAGGGAGGCCCAAAATAAGCTTCCGCAGGGAAGGGGGGAAGAGGGAAAGGTGAGGACGGGGAAGCGGCGCGTATCTGCGTCATCAGTTGTAGCACCCCTCAGGGCTTCCGCGGTCCCCAGCCCCGCGGAACCCCAAGGAAGTCTCCATGCCGTGCTTGGTTGGGATTGCCGCTTCTGATTGGTTGTGGTGGCGCTCCTGCCATGCCTTTGCCTGGTAAGCTCGCTCCGAGCTCCGCCGTGTTGACAGTGGTTGAAGTGTTCCAGGTCAGCTTGTGCTCGTTCCTCTGCTGTTCATGTAGCGGGGGTAGGGACGTGGATGAAACGAGTATGCGCTGCGACATATTCCACAGCTAAAGTGTACCTAGATAAGGGCATGTCATAAGAGGTCATTAAATAAACAAGCTAGTTCGCATCTTGCAGCGTTGAACTCTTCAGCATACACGATTTCAATATAACAACGTATAATATCTCCTGTTCATAACATTCCAAGCTGAAACATACCTTGTGTGTGCCTCATGTTTCTCAGCTTGCAGCTAACGTTAGTAAAGCTGGGAATATGAGCAAGCCTGTAGTATAGAGTCGAGTACATGCAAACATAAAGCCACTCTTCTAAATCCGAACTTGAGACGCGTACGCGTTTCGTCATTCTCTTGGCTGCCGTAGTCAGCACACAGATGCAGTTTGCCAGAATTACACTAGCTGACGGTTGGTTGGCCGCAACCAACTCAGCTTCCAACTGTCGCCTGGCCGAGAGTTGCGGAACTCCTGAATTATGCAGACTCTCTACAGTTTTCGTGGGTAACATCGCCAGCTCTCGCCAGTCTTCGCTAGTCACCACCTTGGATATCCAACTTCAGTCAGGGCGTATTTCTAAATTTGTGTCACCCTGGATTGGTGTCATCCGAATTTGAGGGAGCCAATCAGAAAACCCAAGTTTTGAGATTTGATTTTTTCGATTGGATCCCACGACGGATGACGCGAATTCCGGATGACACGAATCCAGAAATACGCCCTTAGTTCACTGACCACGACGCTCACATCTAATTCCTAGAAAATTGTTTGGTGACAGGAAATCACATTCTAGTATTCTCAGATTTCCTTCTCCTACTCATCCTCGGTCCTTACGTCGGTCATCTGTATCCTGTGACAACACCTTACATATCGCAGTTAGTATTCAGTTTTGGCTACAAAGCGCACAGCGCAGGCTCATACAATAAAGCTCAATGGGTGCCGATCGGCGGCCGAAGAATCCCGTTCAGATCGCCGTGTGGTGGTTAAAAAAGCAGCCGCCTAAGATTAAGGCGTTTCTCGGCGTATGCATCGGGATTGCGGCGCTGATATTTCTGAGATTCATGGTGGTGGATCATGACAACCTCTTCGTCGCTGCTGAGGCCATCCATGCCATCGGTATCGGCGTGCTCGTCTACAAGCTGACGCGAGAAAAGAACTGTGCAGGTGCGTTTTGAGACGCTTATTTCTGAATAGGCACCGTGAAGGTGGGTTGGCTCTTTGTGGTGTTTTGCAGGTCCGTGATTCTTACCATTTTCATTTAGGTTTTGACCGAATTTTATCTCTTAAAGCGTTTACTTATCTGTTCTCCTCTGGTCACCGCTTCCTTAAGCGACCGCGGAAAGAGCAGAGAACGCGAACGAAGAAGCTGCACGAATCTATTTTTCCCTAATGCCTTCGGACGCCGTCCATCCTTAAAAAAGAGTTTCAGAACATCAACTTAGACCCAGCCTTATCTTCTCATACTTGGCAATTCGTACTGTTTTACCTCTCCGTAGTGTTTCTGCCCTGCAATGATGCGCAAAGCGATGTTAGAGATGAACATTGCTTTGATGTCAAATTGTTTTTCTCTTGTCGAATTCCTTGTTTTTTTTCGAGCTTGACAGCCTTCTCATTTTTCATCATTATCCATGTCTCCCTGTTTTTTTTTTTTCTCCGTCGGGCTGTTGGCAGGCCTCTCCCTCAAGTCTCAGGAGCTGACAGCGATATTTCTGGCCGTCCGACTGTACTGTAGCATGATGATGGAGAAGGACATTCACACGCTATTGGATCTCGCGACTCTGGTTACCACCGCGTGGGTCATCTACACCATGCGATTTCAGCTGCGCTCCACTCTGTCCGAAGACCTTGATAACCTCGCGCACGTTTACATTGTGAGTAACGAAAAAATGTGTGATTATAACGAATTCACCATCAACACGGGACCTGACGCCGGTGACCTACACCTTGCAATTTCATTTCCGCTCCTCGGGTTCGGAAGGCATTGCTACTCTGGCAACAGATTTAGGTGTACGCGTTTCTTTGCTTGACATTTTCGCGGTTTCGAGCCATTAACTTACTGCGAGATCAGACGCATTTGAACATCTGGAAGCCGATATAGAAAAAAATATTGCATGTCTGATTCTGTCAAGATTTAACTGCGTGCTGAGGTCATTCCGTCACCCCTCTTGCTCTTGCTCCCGTTCCCCTTACAAATATCGCCCTTCTTCTCCTCCTTTATTTCCTTTCCCCCCACCCTCTTTCCCCCCACACATTTCCTTCCCCCTCCCACCTCCCCCTCCTCCCCTCATTCCCCCCTCCTCTCCATTATTGTCTCCGCAGCTGGCGGCATGCGCCATCCTGGCGCTGCTGGTGCATCCGCGCACGTCGCACTTCATCGTGAACCGCGTGCTCTGGGCCTTCCCGCCCTGGCCCCCTTGTTCCCCTTCTCTTCGCCTTGTCCCCTCACCTTATCCTGTCCTTCCCATATTTCCCCCCACACCTCCCTTCTCCTTCCCCCTCCTTGCCCCCCCATTCTCCCCCTCCCGCCTCCCCCGTTTCCCACCTTCCCCCGCCCTCCCCTCCCCCGCAGCTGGCGCCGTGCGCCATCCTGGCGCTGCTGGTGCATCCGCGCACGTCGCACTTCATCGTGAACCGCGTGCTCTGGGCCTTCTGCGTCTACCTCGAGGCCGTCTCCGTGCTGCCGCAGCTGCGCGTCATGCAGAACGCCAAGGTGAGCGCCGGGGAGAAACTGGGGATGGGAGAGGAAGGGAGTGCGCTTGGCATAGATGAAGTGGGGGAGAGGAAGGGGAAGGGTAGGGGTTCGCCCTTCTGCATGTACCTCGAGGCCGTCTCCGTGCTGCCGCAGCTGCGGGTCATGCAGAACGCCAAGGTGAGCAGGGGGGGGGAGGCGAAGGGGAGAGAGGAAGGGGGTGCATTTGGCATAGAGTGGGCGTTGCAGGGAGGGAGGGAGAGGGGTGGGGTGGGGGTCGCTCTTCTGCGTCTATTTTGAGGCTGTCTCGGTGCTGCAGCAGCTGCGTGTAATGCAGAACGCCATGTGATAGCAGGGAGAATCGGGGGGTGGGAGAGGAAAGGGGTGCACTTGGCGTAGATTGGGCGTTGAGGGGAAGGGGGAGGGAGAGTGCTGCAGCAGCTGCGCGTCATGCAGAACGCTAAGGTGAACCGGGGTGACTGGGGGTACCAGGTGAGTGCAAGGGGAGGGGGAGGCGAGGAGGAAAGTTGGCGTAGACGGGGGGAGTAGGAAGTCTGATTGGTTAGAATGGAAGGAGTGATTGTGGGAAGAAGGCAAGAGCCAACCTCATGAGCTAACTCAAGCCCGGGGGAATGTGTGGTGGCTGGCTGCATGGATATCGAGAACGGAACATTCAGGAATTTGGGGGTGGCTAAGCCAAACGCCTGGATTATCGAATCTTGAGCATGATGGATGGGGGGCTAATGAGTGTGAAGCAGCATGACTCAGCAGAATGTGGATGAGCGCAAGGATGAGCCGAAGCTATATACAACGTGATGCGTAATGCTTACAGCCCCTCCCGCAATCCCATGCTCCCATCCCCATAGCCTTCGTATCCTTCCTTCCTCATCTGCCTCGCACCCCCAACAGCGTTGATTACCCCCCCAAACCCCCCCAACAGCGTCGGCTACCCCCCCAAACCCCCTCTTATCCCCCGTCCCCCTACCCGTTTGTCTTGCACCGCCTTCCTCCTCATGCCATCAGCTACTGGGGCCCTTCACACCGCACCTTGTCTCATCGCTCTGCCCTTGCCCTCTCTCTCCCTCTCTCCCATCCAACCCCCCTTTCCATGTCCCCATCTTGGTGCATCTCATCTCTGCTTCGCCCGTCCCCTCTCGCACTCGTCAAGTCTAGTGGAGCCGTTCACATCGCGCTATGTCTCTGAGCTGGGCATCAGCCCAGGGCATCATCAGCCCAGGCCATTCAACCTCTCCTATTCAACATCAACCATTCTTTCCCACCTTCTTTACCCGCCACCCCCCTTCCTCACCCCCCTCTCTCCCGCCTTCCCTCCATCCCTTCCCCAGCTAGTGAGACCCTTCATGGCACACTATGTCTTTGCTCTCGGTATCAGCTCAAACCACTAAACCTCTCCCACTCTTTCCCCCTCTTCTCTTCCCCCCCACCGCTCCTCCCTCCGCCCATCCCGTCCCCAGCTAGTGGAGCCCTTTACAGCGCACTATGTCTTTGCGCTCGGTATCGCTCGCTTCCTCTCCTGCGCACACTGGATCCTGCAGGTCAGTGCCGCTGCTGCTTTGCTGCATGCCATGAGGCATTGCACTTCGCACTTCTAGCTGCCGGTAGCAGGGCGAAATTACTTCATGGTTTGTACTGCAACTGCTGCAGGCTATAGCACGCGCCACATCCCTAATGCGCATGCACTTTCTGCTCATGCACTCGGCTTGGAACCTCTTCTCGTCCGTTTGCTCTTCTCCAAAGGCACCTTGGCGAAATTACTTCGTGGTTTGCTCTTCTCTCTGGTACAAGGTTAGGATGCACCCTTACTGGCACCTCAAAGCCCCCCCCTCCCCCCCCCCCCCCTTTTTTTTGCTACAAGACAAGATCACAAATTTTGCCAGCCTCGTCATAAGCAATTCACGTTTCACTTTTTCCTGGCAACCTTCGGGTCCTCCCACCCACATGGTACAAGATAAGTTAGCAATCCCCGCAATTTCATTTTATCTTTTCACATTCATGATGCTCATGTCTTTCCCTCCATCTCCCCCTCTCCTTGTTGTTGTGACCCCTCACAGCTTCATCATGACCACCATAGGCTATGGCATGTGGCCCGCCATGGTGCTGCTCTCAGTCACTAACAGACCTAGAGATCACACGGACCTCCATCCGCTGACTGCTGCTTCCCCTTCATCTCCCGCCTCCCTTCCCCCCTTTAGGTGATGGACGGGCACAGCTTCATTATGACGACCATAGGCTACAGTATGTGGCCCGCCATGGTGCTGCTCTCTGACACTCAGAGACTGAGAGATCACACAGCCCTGTATCCTCGCTGACTGTTGCTAACCCTTCATTTCCTGCTCCCCTTTCCTGCTTGTTGGTTTCCGCCCCCCATCCCCCCCCCCCCCCCCCCCCCCCCCCCCCCCCCCCCCCCCCCTTTTCCCCTCCTCGCCAGGTGATGGACGGGCACAGCTTCATCATGACCACCATAGGCTACGGCATGTGGCCTGCCATGGTGCTGCTCTCAGAGATCGTGCAGACCTTCATTCTCGCTGACTTCTGCTACTACTACGTCAGGAGGTGGGCCTCTTTGTTCTCCTGCTTCTATATGGATTGTTGTGTGTCTGCGTGTTTGTGTGTCGGTCCGTCTGTGTGTTGGTGATTTCGTTAAGAGGTGGGTCGAGTGCTTCTCTCCCTGCAATGTCAACAAGTAAGCTGCATTCTCACCGACTTTTGGCAGAGATCCAACATGTGGGGGGGTGTGCGTCTGTGCGTCGGCGTGTTTCTGTCTGTCGGTATGTTTGTGTTATCGTCAAGAGGTGGGTCGGGTGTCTCTTGCTCTGCAATGCCGAGAAGTGAGAGTCACATATTACCCTTGTGAGGGTGAGGTTGTGGCGTGATGGAAGGCTGGCTCATACGGTACTTATGTGGTTGTGTTTGCGTGTCTCATACTTGTGCCTTGTTGCTTGTTGTGTTTTTGCAGTGTGATGGAAGGCCAGCTCATGGTGAGACTGCCTACAGGGGTTGTGTAAGAACCAGCATGACAGCGATACTCCTTTCTCTAGGGGCAGTTTGCCTACATGTTGATGCCATTTATTGCAAGAGTTTCGAAAAGAAGGCCACAGATTTAGTGATAATGAATGTACGGTACACGTCGGGTGGTGCTGGGGGTTCTGAAATGGGTCTTTCGCGCTGCTGCAGGGATTGTGTACTTACTGCACAGTTTAACAGGTTACCGTGTTTTTGTTTATCCGTTTCAGATTGTGTACTTACTGCAAGTGTTTCGTATTGAAATCCTCTTTATGTCGGAAACCGATGGAGGCTGCACACCCCGAATCCAACTGCTTCACCACGCGCACGCATCCCCCACAGCCCGCAGGAACCGCAGCTGGTTTTTACTTGAGCAAGGCGCATGTTATTCAACAAGTAACCTAGAGATTAACGAATGACTGGAGGCGAATACGTAGAGTCGTAGGCTGTCGCCTCACAGAAAGAAAGGTAGTGTCGGTAGCAGACGTGCAGTGGTGCACGAACCCGCGATTTCCGTTACTGAACGAGAATCTGATTCAGCTTCTTCAAGATTGTTTTTTTCACCTCGATCGTTTATTTCCTTCTGATTCCCCCTGTTTAATAAATCACGAGTAATTTAGTATGTTGACGCTTCACGTGAAGACGCCTGGAGCGCTTCGTAGGTGCTCCATTAGCGTACCAGCTAACGTGCGGCTTGGCAAATTGAAACAGCGGGTTGGCGAAGCAACAGGGTTACCCGCGGACGACCGGTTAACACTCATTGTGCGAGGAACCGTGCTCGCAGGCGACTCGGCTTGCTCCTCGTCGTCTGAACCGTCGGATCGTGCGAAACGTTTGGACGGCGATGATGCATCTGTTAATCCATGTCAAGATGAAAGCGTGTCAGATGCTGCCACGTTGGATCTCCGAGACGACGGTACCTTCTCATGTCATTGACTCTGATTGACCATGGAAACTTTGACTCTGAGATTCACATACGACCATTCATGATCATGAAGGGTCGTTGTTGGTCATTAACGATAAATCATGGCCGTCGGGCGTCCGTCATGACAGTGCACACTGCACAGCCAGAACTGCAATCTCCCCCCTCCTTTCCTCCCACATCACCCCTCTTTCCAACGTCCCCCACACCTCTTGCCTCCCGTCGTCTCACACCCAGACGTCATACTCGCTACAGTGCGGCCCAGAGCACCCCCGCCGCAGGTGGCGAACGCTAGAGTGGGGGAGGTGGAGGAGGAAGAGGAGGAGGTGAGACAGGAAAAAAACTATTTTCTCGTTCTGGCTGCAGCCACTGACTCGTATGATCGAATTTCTTGTCTACTTTTCCAACCTCCAACCCTCCCTTTCCCAACCTCCTATGATTGAATTCTCTGTGTGCTCTTTCCAACCTCCACTCCCCCCCTCCCCTCATTTTCCCCAATTTTGAAATCTGGCCTGTCTCTGCGTTGGATTCTCCTCTTCTCATTCCTTCTGCTTCACTTTATAACCCCCTCTTCCTTTATATCCATCTCGCCATCGCCCTGCCCAAAACCGACCTTTCACCCCCCACCCACCCCCCACCCACCCCCACCCTCTCCCTTGTCGTTCTCATCAGGTATTTGTCATCCCAGCATCGGCATCGCCTCTCCAGCGCCGAATCTTCCTCATTTGAGTCGACTCAAAGGCCCCCCTTTTACCTCCTCACATCCCCTGTTCTTTCTACCCTTGTCCCTTCGCGATCAGGTATTTGTCATCCCAGCATCGGCATCGCCTCTCCAGCGCCGAATCTTCCTCTTCCTACAAGACAAATGCAGAATTCCAGGTGCCCTCTCTTTGCAGTCAAGGCATCTCTTCTTGCCACGGTTCCTTCCTCCTCTGCTTTCTTCAAATCCCCCGATATCAGCCTCACTACCCTTTCCCCCTGCCCCTCCCTCATGGACCCCCTCGTTTCCCCATCATCCCAGGTTTCCTCCTCGTCCCCTTCTTCTGGCTGTCTCCTCACAAGTGGCTGCTGGTCATCCTCTGGTTCATCGCTGCACCGCTGCTTCAAATATATTTCGAGCTCGGCCCACTCTTTGTAAGCAAGCTATCCCAGCAGCCCCTTTGTTACAGGGTCAGTCATCACTGCGCCGCTGCTTACAGTCTGTTTCGAGCTCGGCCCTCGCCCATGCCTCGCTGCACCCCGGCAGATCCTGGTTTTCATCAACCTCAGGTCACGCCAGAAAACCAGAAGCCTTTTGAGTCGACTCTAAAACCCCCCCCATGTGGCTTCATGCCTCGCCACACCCCTGCAGGTCTTGGGCACCTGCTTTGCGCTCATCGTCTTCAACCTCGGCACACGCCAGCAAGGGCAGCCTTTTTGCCTTCTGAGTCAGCTCAAAGCCCCCTCATGTCCCCCATACCTCGCCACACCCCTGCAGGTCTTGGGCACCTGCTTTGCGCTCATCGTCTTCAACCTCGGCACACGCCAGCAAGGGCAGCCTTTTTGCCTTCTGAGTCAGCTCAAAGCCCCCTCATGTCCCCCATACCTCGCCACACCCCTGCAGATCCTTGGCACCTGCTTTGCGCTCATCGTCTTCAACCTCGGCACACGCCAGCAAGGGCAGCCTTTTTGCCTTCTGAGTCAGCTCAAAGCCCCCTCATGTCCCCCATACCTCGCCACACCCCTGCAGATCCTTGGCACCTGCTTTGCGCTCATCTTCTTCAACCTTGGCACACGCCAGCAGGGGGAAGCAAGGTGAGTTCCTGTGCTTCCCAGTCTTTTTGAGAAGGCGACTGTTTTTTGCAGCCTTGTTTTATGCTCACCGCAGGGCTCTCGCTAGGTTTTGGGGCTGTCTGACAGTACCCTGAAAAAATTTTCCCCCGTCTTATGGTCGGACGACGAAACTTCCGTGGTCTGCCTTATAAGCTGAAATAATATTTCTAGTCTGATAAATAAGACGAATTTTTTTTTCCTGTTAAAAGTCAACCTACTGTGGCTGTGGCACAACGGGACAACGCGTTGCCGTGGCTGTGGCTGGCGTCGGCGCCGACAGCCAGCCACACGACAAACTCCTGGCAGCGAGGCTGCCATAATGAATGCGCGCATTCATTACGCGCATTCATTACATGACACGCGTAATGAATGCGCGTGCGCATTCAGGGCAACAAATGGCTGTACCTGTGGTCCTATCCTCTGGTCCACTGGGCATATGGCCTAGTGGGTCAAGATGTCGGTTTCAGACGAAACCGAACTCGATATCTGTGTTCTCAGATGAGGAATTCTACACGTCTGGAAAAATCATACGAACCTAAAAGTCAAATCTTACTGATCAGATGAGAACAAACACAAAATCTTAGGATTAAGATGAATACTAAAAATCAAGTCTTAAACTCAGACCATCAGACCAAATTGGTCTGATAACGAGAACCCTGGCTCACCGCCTCCTCTCCCTCCCCCCCCTCGTTTCCCCTTCCACTAACACCAGTGCCTACTCTATTTTCAACGAAGGATTTCAAGAGCTGCCAGGCACACTCAATGCACAGCGTCTGGATGAACATATTAGAGCTGGGCAATTTTAAATTGCTGTATCCATGTAAATACATGCAATGTGTGGTTATATAACACCGTTTCTTGTCTTCCAGAAGTACATAACCCTAGAGTGACATTTGCACCAATGGTAAGAGTGTCCTCATGCTTTGTTCAAGAATTTTGATTGATCTATGTGTTGTATGTACTACATATGAATTTGGTAAACATTTCTACACGGCTCTGATTGTAATCGGATGGAACGATTCTCACCCTGTGGCCTACTGTTTCGTTTGCGGAGATTCTGCTCTTTCTTCAGGAAGCAAACTGATCCGTTCGATCAAAGATTGAAACGGGGGAACGCTCCCGCAAACCCCCTAAAACTGCGCATCCCGCAGCCTATCCGTTGGTTTGCCATCCAGAAACGGGGGAACTCTCCGCGAGACCCCACGTGTTTGGCGGACCTTAAAAAATGTGTCAGCGATTTTGGTGGAGCACTTCCGCCACCTCGCGGGTTTTTCAGAACCAACCGTTGGCCTTGGCTTGGGTGACGACGCTCACGATTTTCGTGAACATTATGTTGCCCCTGATGGCTGCTTGTACGATAAATTTATAGGTTCGCGAACCCATTTCGACTCACAAAATTCGTTCGCCGTTCCTTCCACAGAAAACCGTCGTTCCGCCACTTTGGCGAATTGAGCGCGCTTTTGCGGCCGCGCGATGCCCCAACCTTGTCGGCGGGGCTTCCTTCTCCTCCGCCAGCCCAACCTCGGGATTGGCTGAGGTTTTTCTGGGCTGTGCTGAACCTCGCCTGAGATGGACAGGGAAGAAGCAAATCAAGAACAAAAGGTCACCCATTCCCACCACCTTTCAACCGAACTGAAACATTGATCGCCTTTCTCGACCTTTCTGATTTTGTGAACCCAGGCAGAGCAGGCAATGCGTGAGTTCAGGCATTCTGCAACCGATTTTCCAACTCCTCGACTCGCTGCATTTTCGCTGCTCACTTGCTCCTCTCTCATTCATCTGCATAATGTCGAAAAGCATTCCAGGTCCTCCGTTGATTTCTGTCGTTCGCCAGCCAACTCTGCGTTCCTGCATAAGTCATTAGCACGGACTGTAAGCCGCTAGCCATCATCAGGAATGAGTGTCGACGCTAGAAACGAACTTCTTCCTCAGCAGCGATGTCCTTGCTCAACAAATGCGTTCTCTCCGTCAGTGGCAACGAATTCGTCCATTATCTGTGATTTCCTCGTCGGCAACAGTTTTCATCGACAGCAGCTTCGTGTTCTACCGTTCTCAGCAGTCAAACCGGCCGTCAGCGGAAATTGCGATAAGAAACGATATCCTCATCATCAACAGCTATCGCTGTCAGCAGCAACATTCTCTCCGTAAACTTCAAGGACTCTCGTGCCCGGAAGAGATATGCGACGTTCAGCGATTTCGGCCGTCCGCCAGCAGAGATGTTACACAGTTAGTAGAGACGTTCGCCATCAGCAGCAACAATATCGAAAGTCCCCTCTGCTGCGACCACCACGAGCTCGTCTAATCACCTCATACACGCTCGAGAATCGCGACGCGGCTAAGCGGAATCGCGTGGCTAAGCGGAATCGCCGGCGTAGGTGTGGCTAAGCGAAATTAAATGGAGGATCGCGTCCACCTCGAATCTCGCTTTCCCTGCATCAGGTGCGCCGCTACTGCCGGTATTTTCACATTGACCACGTTAGCTACTTTTCGCCACGTTCTTAATGAAATTAATGTAATAATTTCGATTTCGCGTTTAAATGTGCAGAAAATAATCAAACCGCGCGGAAGGCATAGAGGCGAATCCGCGGAGAAGCATTATGGCGTGGAGGCGAAACCGCAGAGGCGAAACCGCGGAGGTGAAACCGCGGAGGCGAAACTGTGGAGGCGGGCAGCATGGCGCTCATCTCACCACTCTGCGCCGCCCAGAAGCACTCCTTTAAAAGCTAAGTGCAACACATACTGCTTGGATATTCGGCTGCTTCATACATGGACTGCCTCAAACACAGATTGCTTGAGTCGTTGACTGCTTGAAACACAGACTGCTTGACCCTTTGACTGCTTGAAACACCGACTGCTTGACCCCTTGACTGCTTGAAACACGGACTGCTTGACCCCTTGACTGCTTGAAACACGGACTGCTTAACTCTTTGACTGCTTGAAACACGGACTGCTTGACTCTTTGACTGCTTGAAACAGAGACTGCTTGACCCTTTGACTGCTTGAAACACGGACTGCTTGACCCTTTGACTGCTTGATAACGGACTGCTTGACCCTTTGACTGCTTGATAACGGACTGCTTGACCCTTTGACTGCTTGAAACACGGACTGCTTGACCCTTTGACTGCTCGAAACACAGACTGCTTGACCCTTTCACTGCTTGAAACACGGAATGCTTGACCCCTTGACTGCTTGAAACATGGACTGCTTGACCCTTTGACTGCTTGAAACACAGACTGCTTGACCCTTTGACTGCTTGAAACACAGACTGCTTGACCCGCTGGCTGCTTGAAACACCACTGCTTGACCCTTTGACTGCTTTAAACACGGACTGCTTGACCCTTTGACTGCTTGAAACACGGACTGCTTGACCCTTTGACTGCTTGAAACACAGACTGCTTGACCCTTTCACTGCTTGAAACACAGACTGCTTGACCCTTTGACTGCTTGAAACACAGACTGCTTGACCCTTTGACTACTTGCAACACAGACTGGTTGACCCGTTGACTGCTTGAAACATGGACTGCTTGACCCTTTGACTGCTTGAAACTCGGACTGCTTGACCCTTTGACTGCTTGAAAACGGACTGCTTGACCCTTTGACTGCTTGAAACACAGACTGCTTGACCCTTTGACTGCTTGAAACACAGACTGCCTGACCCTTTGACTACTTGCAACACAGACTGCTTGACCCTTTGACTACTTGCAACACAGACTGGTTGACCCTTAGACTGCTTGAAACATAGACTGGTTGACCCTTTGACTGCTTGAAACACGGACTGCTTGACCCTTTGACTGCTTGAAACACAGACTGCTTGACCCTTTGACTGCTTGAAACACAGACTGCTTGACCCTTTGACTACTTGCAATACAGACTGGTTGACCCTTTGACTACTTGCAACACAGACTGGTTGACCCTTTGACTGCTTGAAACACAGACTTGTTGACCCCTTGACTGCTTGAAACACAGACTGCTTGACCCTTTGACTACTTGCAACACAGACTGGTTGACCCTTTGACTACTTGCAACACAGACTGCTTGACCCTTTGACTGCTTGAAACACAGACTTGTTGACCCCTTGACTGCTTGAAACACAGACTGCTTGACCCTTTGACTGCTTGAAACACAGACTGCTTGACCCTTTGACTGCTTGAAACACAGACTGCTTGACCCTTTGACTACTTGCAACACAGACTGGTTGACCCGTTGACTTCTTGAAACATGGACTGCTTGACCCTTTGACTGCTTGAAACTCGGACTGCTTGACCCTTTGACTGCTTGAAAACGGACTGCTTGACCCTTTGACTGCTTGAAACACAGACTGCTTGACCCTTTGACTGCTTGAAACACAGACTGCTTGACCCTTTGACTGCTTGAAACACAGACTGCTTGACCCTTTGACTACTTGCAACACAGACTGGTTGACCCTTTGACTACTTGCAACACAGACTGGTTGACCCTTTGACTGCTTGAAACACAGACTTGTTGACCCCTTGACTGCTTGAAACACAGACTGCTTGACCCTTTGACTACTTGCAACACAGACTGGTTGACCCTTTGACTACTTGCAACACAGACTGGTTGACCCTTTGACTGCTTGAAACACAGACTTGTTGACCCCTTGTCTGCTTGAAACACAGACTGCTTGACCCTTTGACTGCTTGAAACACAGACTGCTTGACCCTTTGACTGCTTGAAACACAGACTGCTTGACCCTTTGACTGCTTGAAACACAGACTGCTTGACCCTTTGACTGCTTGAAACACGGACTGCTTGACCCTTTGACTGCTTGAAACACAGACTGCTTGACCCTTTGACTGCTTGAAACATGGGCTGCCTGTGCCGACTTTATGATTTGCTTGCACCATGCATCTGACTCCCTTGTTTACTGCCCTCTGTCATGCCCAAGAGACCTCCCTTCTCCAAGGTAGCAGGTTCAACTATGGTAAAGCCACAGGTATTCTTTTTGAGTCGACTCAAAAGTCAACTATGGTAAAGCCTCAGGGTATTCTTTTTTGGTTTGGTTCAGCTGGTACGAGGTCTCTTGGGTGTGCCTGCCACTGCAGCAGTCCATTCATGCACGCATCATTCTGCAAACTTGCTGCACTCTTCGCGCTCACTTCACTCTTTGCTACTTTCCTCACTGCTCTCTCCACTCTTCTGGCCCCCTCTTCACTCCCCCGTTTTCCACCCCCCCTCCTCCCTTCCTCTCTGTCCCGATATGCCCGCGTCTGGTCCCAGCAGGTCGCTCATACGGGAGTGGCCCTTTCTTGGGTAAATACCCCCAGGTATTACAGGTATACATTCAGGTCTGCAGGCAAGTCTCCCTAGGTGTGTACTCCCCTTGGATCTGTGGCTTGTAGCTGAGGCTGCACCAGTGGCTCCCTTCTCAGCTCTCACTTGCCTTCCCACCCCACCCCACCCATGCACTCCTCTCACATTTCTACCCCTGGCCGCATACTCACTTCTCTTCAGTTCTTCTCCTTTCCGTTGAGGGGAGGGGCGTGGGGGTGAACACCGCCGCTCCCTCACGTCCCTCCTCTGTGGCTGTGCAGGTGGCAGTGGTGGGAGGGGAGGGGGGCAGAACTTCACTCGGCTGGGATGGGAAGGGAGAGAATCGGGCTGGGTTGTCTGAAACAAGGTGAGCCTCCTTCCCCTCCTCTCTTCCTCGCCTGTCTGCCTCGCCTGCATATCTCACTTTCCATCTGCCTCACCTCTCTCATCCACTTCACTTCCTCTCCAACTCTCCCCTCCCCTCCTCTCCCCCTCCACCCCCTCCCCTCCCCCCCGCTCACCCCGCCGCCCATCCCCCAGCAGCCCCTCTGGTGACGAGTTCCCAGCACTCCCAGCAGCGCCTTTGGTTGGTGGGAGGCGCTTCAGTGGCGGCAGCACAACAGCCACCATCACTCACAGCCGCACCAGATAAGTACACTCTCACTTTGCTCTCGCCTTTTCAATGCTTTCACACACTCTTACACATGCTCGTTCCCATGCATCTGCACGTAATCTTTCCATCCATGCTGCATGCCTCAAGCCAAGCCACTTGCAGCAGCCCAGCCCACGTGGTGCAGACCCCCCTACTCCAGGTATCCCCCCCCCTCCAGCCCCCAGGTCAAGCCTACCATAAGCACTACACATTTACTAAAACCCTCACTACCTTTGGGTCTGCACCATGTGCCAACTGCTGCTCCAGTGGTCCCTCTGCTGCTCCCCACATGCCACCCCACCCCACCCAAACTCGCCTTTCATGCTTCTGCCCCTAGCCGCTTACTCACTGGTCTTCAGTTTCCTCCTTGCAGGTGGAGGGGAGGGGCGTGGGGGTCAACACCGCCACTTCCTCACGCCCCTCCCCTTGTGGCCGCGCAGATGGCAGTGGTGCGAGGGGAGGGGACAGCACTCCACCTGGCTGGGATGGGCAGGGAGAGTATTGGGATGGGTTTTCTGAAACAAGGTGAGCCTCTTTCCCCCTCCCTGCTGAATATGCTTGCATGTTTGTACTTTCCTTCACTCACACTTAAGCTTGCTCATTTCCTCTCTTGCTCCCTGGCCTGGCCTGCATGCCGCTCCGTTTTCCTCTTTACTCATTGCCCTTTGCACTCCTCTGCCCCTCCTTCACATCCTCTCCTCTCCTACCTCCTCCTCTCTGTCCCAATCTGCCCGCTCTCGTCTCAGCAGGGTGTTGGAGAGGCAGTGGCGGGGAGCAGTAACAAGGAACATGGAGTGGGAGTGACAGTCGGCAGCTGCTCTCCACCCAACCCATCCACAGCTAAGTCCCTGCCCTTCCTCCCTTGTGTTCTTTTGCTTTTCACGTTCATCCATGCTGCATCCCCTGTTTCGTGTCTATTCAAACACAAGCCTCTGGTTGAGCCAAAGCTTCAAGCCACAGACCCATTTTTTTAGGGTACACTCTCCCAGGTACAGAGGTATCCTCTCAGGTCTAGCCTTCCCAGGCAAATACCCCCTCTGAGTCTGTGGCTTGTAGTTGAGGCTGCACCAGTTGCACCCTCTCTCGCTTTTCACCTCTTTTGTACAGGTTATTCGCTTGGTCCCCCCACAGTACACTCACTGCTGCTGTGTGTGTGCCTTGCAGGTGGAGGGAAGGGGCGTGGGGATCAACACCGCCACTCCCTCACGCCCCTCCCCTTGTGGCCGTGCAGGTGGCAATTTGGGAGGGGAGGGGGGCAGAACTTCACTCGGCTGGGCCAGGAAGGGAGAGTATCGGGCTGGGATGGGAAGGGAGAGTATCGGGCTGGGTTGTCTGAAACAAGGTGAGCCTCTTTCTCCCTTCCTGCTACAGATGTCTCACTTCAAGTCTGCATTCTTGATTTTCTGTTCTTCTGATTACTTGACTGTTTCACTTGATGCCAACTTACTTGTTCCTCCTGCCCCTACTCTCCAGTCCGTTCCCCCGCCCATTGCCAGGTCACTTGGTGGGAAGGGAGGGGTCTCACTCCACTTGGGATGGGAGAGTATCGGGATGGTTGTCTGAATCAAGGTGAGCCTCTTCTCACCTCGCTGCCAGAGTTGCAGTCTTATGTGCTTTTTCCTTCACTCATGCTGCTGCTGTTCTTCTCACAATGCTAGCTTACTTTTCTTGCTCCTGTCCTGCTGTCACACTTCTGCCTGTTCTTCTCCCCTTGCTCACTGCTCTCCCTTGGTCCCTGCCTCCCTCCCTTTCCAGCAGCCTGAGGCACCATGGCGCTCTGCATGGCTCTGGTAGGTGGAGGTAAGGAGGCAAGGGGGTGAAGTGTGCGGTGGGTGGGTGGGTGGGGAGCATGGGAGCAAGTGGGCATCTCACTGCCCTAGGGGCAGCACCCTCAGGGGTTGTGCCTTGTGGTGTGGAGCTTGGTGGGTGGAATCTGTGCGGCACGGCACTCGGTGCTCAAGTAACCAATCTGGCGTTCAAGGCCTAATGGACACCGTCAGAGCCGACCGGCCGGCGGCTCTGGTTCGCGTCAGCTCTGGCTACGTCAGGGGTGAGATTTGAGTCGCAATTCTCCACAGCCAAACCTCGCCCCACAAGGCAAAGCCTCAGGGTGTGCTGTTCCTTTTTAAGGAAGTGGGCTGTCTGCTGCTCCAACTGCTGGCAGGTGAGAGTGGGGAGGGGTGAGGCGAGGTGGGCGGGTGTTGGGGGGTGGGGACTGGGGGGCTTTGACTGGGGGGTGGTGGGTAGTTGTGGGTGGGTGGGTGGGCTCTCTATGGGAGTTGGTGGGTAGTTGAAGGTGGGTGGAATTTGTTTGGGGGTGGGTGGGTAGTTGTGGGTGGGTGGGTGGGCTCTCTATGGGAGTTGGTGGGTAGTTGAAGGTGGGTGGAATTTGTTTGGGGGGTGGTGGGTAGTTGTGGGTGGGTGGGTGGGCTCTCTATGGGAGTTGGTGGGTAGTTGAAGGTGGGTGGAATTTGTTTGGGGGGTGGTGGGTAGTTGTGGGTGGGCTCTCTATGGGAGTTGGTGGGTAGTTGAAGGTGGGTGGAGTTTGTTTGGGGGGTGGTGGGTAGTTGTGGGTGGGTGGGTGGGCTCTCTATGGGAGTTGGTGGGTAGTTGAAGGTGGGTAAAATTCGACTCGGGGATGGTGGATTGTTGTGGGTGGGTGGGTGGGTGGGTGAGTGGGCTTTGACTGGGGGTAGTTGCCACTACAATGGTCAGAGGAAGCCATAGCAGATTCTGCTGCTATGAGTAAACGATGTGGCACAGGGGAGTTGACACTGACAGTGAGGGACGGGAGGGGAGGGGCGGGCAAGGAGGGTAGGCTGGATGATGAATCTCCAGCACACGAATTCTGCAGCAAATGCCTTGTCCGAATGCTGCTGATAGGGGAGTTCCAACTTCCAAGTAAAATATGTGGCACACTGGATTTCTGTTTTGACGCTGACAGTGTGTGGGGGGGTTAAGGGCAGGCTGGCATGCGAGGAGGAAGGCTGAATGTTGAAACCCCAGCAGACGGAATGCCGCAGGACATGCTTCAAGTGCTGCGGATATAATTAGAATATGCGGCACAGGGAAGGCAGGCAAGGAACGTCGGATCTTGGAGCCTCAGCAAGATGTGGCAGTGTGTATGTGTGAATGTGTTCCCAAGCCCGTTCTCTGGAGGTCGACGGGAGGCTGTATATGATCTTGATCCATCTTACATGTCCTTGGAATGATTACATGAGGTACTGCCTACAAAAATAATATAAAAATGCCATGCTTTATATGGAATGGAAAGCAGGGAGGAGTTAAAAGCGCTGTCGCAAATGCTGTGTGGCAAATGCTGTGGCGAATGCTGTGGCAAATGCTGTGGCAAATGTTGTGGGTTAGGGTACATGTAAGATGTGCACACTCATTGAGGAGCTTGCGATGATAACAAACTGACAGTGCAGCAAGAGAGTGGAAAAATGACATGACACCTTAGCAACACCAAATCAGGGACACAATGAGCTGGAAGATCTGGTAACAGACCTGTCTAGAAAAACAAACAGCCCACAAGGAAAACAGATTTCGAGCACTGAGAGATTCGAACTCTCGCGGGCAGAGCCCATGTACTTAGCAGGCACACGCCTTAACCACTCGGCCAAATGCTCCTGCCACTAAGCACAACTACAATTTAATAGATCAATGACATTGTTTGATTCCCAATACTGTCGTTTCAGCGATCGTGCCATCAGCGGCAATGGCTGCCAAGGAACGGATGGCGACGTTCCGTTTGTCGCGGCACGGCCTACCGGTCGTCGCGTTGCTCCTCGTTGTCATCGCGACGATATCGCCGCTCGCTGCCACTCGCCCCACCCCTACTCTTACGGATACTCTTTCCAATGAAGCTTCCACGAACTCGCGATCATCACAGGTGGAACCCCCTTACCCTTCTGTAGTGTTATCGCGTGAATCCTGCTCAATCTATCTAAGAGACGCTTGTGCCGCATCACCTGCTAATTTATGTATTGCATAGTATGGATCAGGCATGTTAAGACCAATTTAGAGCTCCTTAATTCTTAATAGGTCGACACAGCTAGCACAGACCAGTTGCACTATACCTTCTATTCCGCTCCACCTCCTCCCACCTTTCCCTTATTTCTTTGGCATTTTACTAAGAAGATTATCCCTCCCGTTGATCTCGGAAACCTGCTTCCGGTATTCCGATATCAATTCGCTTAGTCCATTTCCCCTTGCGTCGTCTCACCCTCTGATCTCGGCAACCCCAAGGCCGACATCCTTTTTCCATCCGTCGCTCTGTCCGCAGTCCATTTTCCTTGTCTCTCGTCTCATTCTCTCTGATGCCGGCAATCCCAAGGCCGACATCGCGCCTCCATTCGTCATCTCTCTGTTCGCACTCCATTTTCCTTTTCTCGTCTCCTGATCCCGGCATTCCCAAGGCCAGCTTCGGCAATCCCAAGGCCGACATCTTTCATTGATTATTACTCTTTCGTTCCAAGGTTTTCTGAAACTCTCTCCCTCGTGATCTCCCTCTGCTCCCAATCCCTCTGTTTCTCAGGGTCGTCTCGGCAATCCCAAGGCTAGCACCGAGGCCAGTCTCCTCAATTCCGATGTTGATCCACGTTCTACGTCACCCCCAGTGGAGACAAAATCGCTGGGCGGCGGATCAGATCTCCGCGCCTCCTCGTCGCGTCAAATCGAATCTCTCGCGACTGTTGGACTCGAGCTGGAGCTGAGTCAGCACCGACCAATCAGATCTCTCGCGCGGAGCCCCGTGGACGCGGAAGAGGCGGAAGATGACGCGGAGATCCCCGCGGAGATTCCCCCCGGTAGGGTCGGGAAAGGCCCAGCCGACGCGGGGTTGGCGGAAGAAGCAGAGGGCGCGGCGGAAGCGGCGGAGATTGCGGAAGAGGAGATTGATCCGCCCAGGAAAACGGTAAATAAGAAGAAAAGCGGTGTGGGTGGTCCGGGCAGGGGGGGAGAAGACGAATTGGGGGAGGAAGCGGAGGAGGAAGCTGGGGCGGAAGCGGAGGTTGGGGAGAAGAAGCGGAAGGGGGATGTGACTGGGGAAGGGTCGACGAAAGGCGGGGTTACTGGGAAAGGGGCGGGAGTGGTGGGGGAAGAGGCGGAGGAGGGGGAGGAAGAAGCGGAAGCCGAGGGAGCGGCAGCAGGAAAAAAGACTACTCCGGGGAAAGCAGCAGCAGCAGCAGCAGCAGCAGCAGCAGCAGGGGAAGTTGGTGTAGGGAAAACAGGGGCAGGGGGGGAAGGGGGAGCAGGAGGCGGGTTGATAGGCAGTGGGGGGGAAAGCACGCGCAAGACAGCAGCAGAGCGAGACGCGGAGGTGAGGGCGGAGGCGGAAGGGGAGGGGGAAGGGGAGGGGCTGGCGCAGGGGCTGGGGAAGGGGAAGGGCAAAGGGGGAGGGGGTTTAGAGGCGGAAGGGGAAAAGAGGGCTGTAGGGGAGCCTATAGAGCAAGCAGCATCGGGGGATGAAGGGGATAAGTTTGAGGAGGGGGCAGGGGGGATGACAGGAAAAGGTGCTGGGGCGAGAGGTGGGGGAATCGCGGGGGAGAGAGGTGGGGAGGGTGCTGGGGGGTTGGGCGTGGAAGGGGGTGAGGAGGGAGGTGGGGAAGGGGGCGCGGAAGGGGGTGCGGAAGAGGAGGAGGGAGCAGCAACGGTGGATGAGCAACCATGGGCGGAGGGGCAGCCAAAGGGAAGGGCGGGCGAGGGGGAGGCGGAGGGGGCGGGGGGAGAGGTGGGGGGAGAGGGCGTGTTTGGTGGGGAAAAGGGTGGTGCCGGTGGTGCTGGTGCTGGCGCTGGTGCTGGTGGTGCTGGTGGTGCTGGTGGTGGTGGTGCGGGTGATACTGGCAGTGGGAAGAGTGATAGCAGCAGAAAGGGCGATTTCTCTGGGGAAACCGACCAAGCCCCCTCGTCTGGTAACCCGGTTACCACACCCGAAACCACCACTCCCCCTAGCAGCAGTAGCAGCAGCACGAGTGCCACTATCCTTCTGTCCATCAAACGAGCCCTGATCCAGCTCTTAAAGCCCTTGATTATCTCCACTATGGCAACCATCTACCCCTTTGTTGGTGTGGCAAACGCGGAAACTTTCGCGGTGTACCTCGTGCTAGGGGCATTTACCCTGGCAATCATAGGTTCCCTGGTGGTAATCATCGCGTGCTACTGTTGCTGCAGGACCAGGCATGGGGAAGGGCCGTTGTATCAGAGCGTTGCTGGGGCGGAGGGGGATACAGGGAGTGGGTTTGGAAGCAAGGTGGGGGGTGTGGGTGGGAGCAGGGGCTCGGAAGAACAGTGGGATTGGGACGAGGAGGACGTGGATGGGGATGATTGGGAGAGAGTGGGGAGGGAGAAGGGAGGAGGAGGAGGGGGGGGAGTAGGGAGGGGTGCTATGGAGGTAGAGGTTCGGTCACCTACTAGCAGTTCGTTAAAGCTGGGAGGAGGGTCTAAGTCGCCTTTTGGTGCTGCGGGTGGTGGCGGCGGCAGCAGTAGCAGCAGTGGCAAGCCGTTGTTTCTCAAACCGGCTGTCACCTCTGTTTCTCCTACTGCTGCTGTTCTTGCCTCCGCTCCTGTCGTTGCTCCTCTCGCTGCCGCTGCTCTTCCTGCTGCTGCTGCCTCTGTAATTGGCGCTGGCAACGGTGTTACCAGCACGGTTACCAGCATCAGCAGCACTGGTGTAACCAGCGCTGCCAGTGGCAGTGCCATGAGCAAGAAACCGGTGCGGACAGGATGGGTGGATGAAGAGGAGGAGAAGGAGGAGGAGGATATTGGATGGGGAGAGCTTGGGTCTTCTCTTGGGTTCGGGGGAAGCAGCACGGCTGGGAGCAAAAAAGGAGCAGCAGGAGCGAGAGGAGGAGGGAAGGCAGGTGGTGGGGGTGCTGGTAAGACAGCAGCAGCAGCAGCTAAGAAGAAGCAGACTACGAGTAAGCTAGTGGTTGCCAAGGGGAAGAGTGGCGGTGGGGAGGATGATGGTGATGATGATGGTTGGAATTTTGATGAGATGTAAACAGTTGATGGCATTCAAGCAGGAACCTTCAGTGAATACTGTTTTGTCTTCAGCGGCTGTTCGTCTTTGGTTGATGAATGCGTGTTTTTAGCATCTCTTTCATTGCAATAGTTATTAGTTACCAATAATTCCTCATACTGCAGTTTCACAAGCAAAGTGTAATACTGTACCCTTAGGTTTCAGCGATTTGAATATATGAAGTGACTAGTCATAGAGGATCTACTAAAGTCTCAACATCACTATTGTCTCCATATCACAATATCACTCCAGTACCGTACGTTATGACAATACCGTAACCCAATCATTTGTACTCCAGTCCAGTCATCAGAACTATTGAGCAGAAGCAGTGCCTCTAAAAGAAAGAAAAATGAAGGTTTTTGAAAGTGTGCAACACTTTCTAAAAATGTATATTTCGAAAGCGAAGCTGCTTGTAATGCAGCAATGGCAACGGCGAAGTGCTCTACGCTCTTCCCAACTATATAGCAGGGGGTGGAGGCCATTTGGCCTCCACCCACGTCTTCGTTTGAAATTTCAAATGTCTTATTTCCCACCCACCCACCCTAGCAAAAAATTGCATGTTGTAACTTGTTACGTAGGTATCATATATAAGTAGGACGAGAATGCTGTAATGCCCATTTGAAACGAAGCTTGTTGCCATTGCAAACACAAGAAAGCAAGCTTTCTAAATAAAATAATTGCAGAACATAGTACTACATTCCATGCTCTAATGGCCAGCGATCATTCTCATCCCCTTTATTGTCATCCCCAAATTCAGTGTCATCATTAAATCCTCCAGCGTAAATCCTAAGACTTCTTCCCTCACCCTGTCTCACATCGTCCCCACCACCCATCCCCCCTCTCCCATCAACACTCCCACCAGCCTCATTCTTCCTCACACGCTTTAACTTCCTTCGCTTCTCCAGCTTCCCATCCTCACCTGCACCCACTACGCGAGAACCTTGTAAGGAGGACAAAGGAGCACCATTAACATCACCACCACCACCAGCACCACCACCATCAACATTCTCTTCCCACTCCCTTTCTCCCACACCCTTGCTTCGATCCCTTCTCTTCCTCTCTTTCCCTCGTGCTCCTGCCCTTTCCCCCACCCCACCATCATCATCGTTCCCTTCTTCTCCCCTATCCCCCTTCTGCAACACTCTTTCTCCCCCTCCTCGCCTCCCTCCCCCCTCGGCCTCTTCCCTTTCCTTAAACCTGTGTCGCCTCCTCCCACCCTCAGCCTCATCCTCATCCTCATTATAACCAGACTCTCTAGCAGCCCGAACCCTGCCTCTTCCTTCCACCTCCTCCTCCTCTCCCTCGGCCTCCTCTCGATAACGGTACTTCCCCTTGCGTACCCTCCCGGCCGCACTCCCCTCCTCTCCACTCCCCCAATCCCCATCCCCTTCACCATCATCCCCATAGCCATCCCACCTCCCTGGGGAACCTTTTTCCCCTCCGTATCTCCCACCCCTCCCGCCCATTCCCCCTCTCCCCCACCCTCCTCCTCCTCTCCCTTCACCCTCCCTGGCAGCAGCAAAATTGAGCCTGCAGGCAACAGCAGATAGAGATGCGGATGGGACGGGGGTGGGGAAAAGAGTGTGGGAGGGATGAAGTGATCGTGGCTGGCTGAACGGGAACAGGAGAGAGGGAGAAAGAGGAAATGATTCAACAGAAAAGAACCCTCTCACTTGCGGCCATACCCCTGCCCACTCGCCCCTCTCACCCCTCCCCTCTCATCTCTTATGCCCACCCCTCACCTCTGAACCCTTCCCTTCACCCCTTCCCTTCACATCCCACCTTTCATCACCACCCCTCACCTCTCATCACCACTCCTCACCTCTCGCCAATTGGTCGCTTCCGCCTCATCCTCCCTGCTCCATCACCCTCAAAATGCTCCTCCTCTCCTTCAGGAGTGCCATACCGCCTATCCTCCTCTCCCCTCTCCTCTCCCCTCTCCCTGCCCCAATCCTCCTCTCCCCTTTCCCTACCCCCCTCCTCCCTCCTCTTCTTGCCTCGCCCCCTGCTCCTCTCCTTGCTTCCCCTACTCCTCTCCCCACCTCGCTCCCTGCTCTGTCCTCCAGAATCCTGCTGCATTGAAGGGGTGCTTCGTTTCACACTGCCTGCTCGCTCTCTCCTCCCCTCCCCCCCTCCCCTCTTCCCTACACTCACTAACCCACTCCTCATCCTCCCCATCATCCCTTCCCCCATCTCTCCCCCACTGCCTCCTCACATCCATTTCACCCCTTCCCCTCCACTCATCCCTCTCCTCCCTCTCCCCCCTCTCCCCTCGCTCCCCCCACTCCCCCTTCTCCCATCTCTCCCCTCTTCCCCCCTTATCAGGAAAACCTATTCTTCCCCCAACGCCCCTGCCTCTTCCTCCCCTCCCCCCAAACCTTCCTCCGCCTCTCCCCCTGCCCCCACCTCCACGCCCAAAATGCCCTGGGCCACTGCAATCATTCACAGGGAGAAATAAGCGGGGGGGAGAAGGAAGGTAGGATTCGGTTGGTCGGAGCTGGAACGTAGGAGGCCTTGGAGACAACGGAGAAAGTAGGGGGAAAGTAGGGGACGGGGACGGAGCTGGAAAGTAGGAGGCCTTGGAGAGGGGACGAGGAAAGAAGAGCAGCAAACAAACGGCAAGGAATGAGCACCACCAACAAAGAGTAAAAAAAAAAAAAGAAGCAGGGGCGTAGTAACAGCAGCGAAAGACACAAAATCACGGTCCAGAGAAATTGACTGCATATGAGTGCTATGGAGGGGGGTGGGGGCGAGGGGGCACAGGATGCATACTTCAAGACACACCCCACTCACTCACCCATCGGGACCAAATTGCTGGTGCCCTCCCCCTCCGCCTCCTTCGAATCCTGGCCCCATGCCTTGATTCATGCCCATTCCTCCTCCCATTCCGGGCCCCATGGGCCCCATGCCCATGCCAGGCCCTCCCATTTCTCCCCCCATCCCCCCGCCCATCCCTCCCCCCATGCCTCCCCCGCCCCCAAAGCCAGGCCCCATGGGGAAATCCCCTCCCATGTTGGGGTTGGGACCCACGCCTTCGTTCCACCCGAACTCTGCAAAAGAGAGCGAATGGGGCGGGTAGTAGAATGAAGGGATAAGCGGCGAGAGGGAGTGAAACGATCGCTGTGGTGTCGGAAAATAAGCAAGGGCCAGAGAATAAGCAAGGGCCAGAGAATAAGCAAGGGCCAGAGAATAAGCAAGGGCCAGAGAATAAGCAAGGGCCAGAGAATAAGCAAGGGCCAGAGAATAAGCAAGGGCCAGAGAATAAGCAAGGGCCAGAGAATAAGCAAGGGCCAGAGAATAAGCAAGGGCCAGAGAATAAGCAAGGGCCAGAGAATAAGCAAGGGCCAGAGAATAAGCAAGGGCCAGAGAATAAGCAAGGGCCAGAGAATAAGCAAGGGCCAGAGAATAAGCAAGGGCCAGAGAATAAGCAAGGGCCAGAGAATAAGCAAGGGCCAGAGAATAAGCAAGGGCCAGAGAATAAGCAAGGGCCAGAGAATAAGCAAGGGCCAGAGAATAAGCAAGGGCCAGAGAATAAGCAAGGGCCAGAGAATAAGCAAGGGCCAGAGAATAAGCAAGGGCCAGAGAATAAGCAAGGGCCAGAGAATAAGCAAGGGCCAGAGAATAAGCAAGGGCCAGAGAATAAGCAAGGGCCAGAGAATAAGCAAGGGCCAGAGAATAAGCAAGGGCCAGAGAATAAGCAAGGGCCAGAGAATAAGCAAGGGCCAGAGAATAAGCAAGGGCCAGAGAATAAGCAAGGGCCAGAGAATAAGCAAGGGCCAGAGAATAAGCAAGGGCCAGAGAATAAGCAAGGGCCAGAGAATAAGCAAGGGCCAGAGAATAAGCAAGGGCCAGAGAATAAGCAAGGGCCAGAGAATAAGCAAGGGCCAGAGAATAAGCAAGGGCCAGAGAATAAGCAAGGGCCAGAGAATAAGCAAGGGCCAGAGAATAAGCAAGGGCCAGAGAATAAGCAAGGGCCAGAGAATAAGCAAGGGCCAGAGAATAAGCAAGGGCCAGAGAATAAGCAAGGGCCAGAGAATAAGCAAGGGCCAGAGAATAAGCAAGGGCCAGAGAATAAGCAAGGGCCAGAGAATAAGCAAGGGCCAGAGAATAAGCAAGGGCCAGAGAATAAGCAAGGGCCAGAGAATAAGCAAGGGCCAGAGAATAAGCAAGGGCCAGCAAATAAGCAAGGGCCAGAGAATAAGCAAGGGCCAGCAAATAAGCCTCACGGCTTGTAGAATGACTTTTGAGGCGCCTAAAAAAATAGTCTCACGGCTTGTAGAAAGTGCACAACAACCAAAACAAGAGGGGAGAGTGCGGTAAATCGCCTTGTAGTTAAAAAATCGCATTTGTGCTCTTATTGAGCTGAGGGGAATGGAGTGAGCGGGGAGGGGTGAAGGAAGGGGAGAAAGAGGCGGTAGGGAAGGGGGACAGGGAAGGAGAAATGGAGGAGGGAGTAGGAGGGGTGGACAAGGGAAGGTGTTCCCTTACCTGGGCCTGGAAACATCCCAGGTTGGTTCGGGAAAGGGCCGCCGAAGTTACCACCACCGCCCATGCCCATGCCCATGCCTCCACCTCCCATTCCCATGCCCATCCCTCCGCCTCCCATGTGCCCCATGCCTCCTCCCATGCCCATGCCCCCTCCCATGCCCATGCCTCCCCCCATGTTGCCCATTCCCCCACACATCCCACCGCCCATCCCTCCGCCCATTCCCCCGCCCATTCCCCCCATGTTGTTCTGAGGGCAGTCTCGCATCATATGATCCTTGGCTCCACAGGTGTAGCATGCACGGTCCTTCTTGCCCCCACCCATGCCGTGCTCGGGGTGATCTGCTTGCACGTTTGAAAACAGGGAAAACAGGGAAACAGGGAAACAGGAGGGGCGAGAGGGGAGAGGGGAGAGACAAATGAGATAATGTGTTAAGAGGAGCGAGTGATAACAGAGGACGAATCATGGAAGACACAATATATACATATATATATACGTATATATACATATATATACATATACATACATATATATACATATATATATACATATATATACATATGTAAATATATATGACCAAAGGTGAGGAGGGGAGGGAAGGTGAGGAGGGGAGGGGCAGCACAGGATTACAGCATGAAAAGAGGGACCTACCTACCAACACACCACACCATACCAATCGTGTGATGCTCTTGACGCACCTCAAAAGCAAAGGGATACAGACAGAGAAAAAGGGGGAAGACAAGTGGAAAGGAGGACGTACCACCATGCCAGCCGTGCTGCTGGCTGTGAAAGTGCTCTGGCCCTCCCATGTGCGGACCTCCCATATGTGGCCCTCCCATACCCATAGGTCCCATCGGTCCCCCCATGGGTCCCCCCATAGGTCCCCCCATGGGTCCCCCCATAGGTCCCCCCATAGGCCCCCCCATAGGCCCCCCCATAGGCCCCATGGGCCCTCCCATAGGCCCCCCCATTGGTCCCCCCATTGGTCCCCCCATGGGCCCCATCGGACCCCCCATCGGTCCCCCCATCGGTCCCCCCATGGCCCCCCCCATTGGCCCCATACGACCGCCCATAGGCCCTCCCCTCCCCCCACCACCAATCGGACCCCCCATACCACCCCCCATTGGCCCCATTCCCCCCCCCATCCCTCCCCCCATCGGTCCGCCCATAGGTCCCCCCATATTCCCGCCCATTCCCCCGCCCATGCCTCCGCCCATACCACCCCCCATGCCTCCGCCCATGCCTCCGCCCATACCCCCCATATCAGGACCCATCCCCATTCCCACGCCCATAGGCCCTCCTCCCATGTTTCCCCCCATGTTTCCCCCCATATTCCCCCCCATAGGACCTCCCATGTGCGGACCCATCTGCCCCATCTGGCCCCCACCCATCTGCCCCATCTGCCCCTCCCCCATCTGCCCATCCATATGCTGTTGCTGCTCCTGCTGCTCTTGCTGCTCCTGCTGTTTCTGTTGCTTCAGTTTCTTCTTCTTCTTCTTCCCCTTCACCTTCTTTCCCTTCCCCGTTCTGCCTTCCTTCACCTCCCCTTCCCCTCCCCCTTCTTCTCCCCCTTCCCCTCCCCCTTCTTCTCCCCCTTCCCCTTCCCCTTCCCCTTCCCCTCCACCCTCTTCCCCTTCTCCCCCTTCCCCCCCACCTTCCACTTCCCCCTCTACCGCATCTCCCTCCCCTCCCTCCCCTCCTGCGCCTCCAATCACTTCCCCATCGCCCTCAGCATAAGCACCCCCAGTACTGTCACCCTCTGGTGTGGCAACCGAACCTGGTGCTGCAGTATCATCAGCAGCAACAGTGTCAGCACCAGCAGCGCCATCACCATCACCACCAGCACCACCAGCACTATCACCAGCTGCGGCAGCAGCAGCAGCAGCAGTAGCACCACCGCCACCATCAGCAGCAGCAGCACCACCACCATCAGCAGGAGCACCATCAGCAGCAGCATGGGTGGTACTAGCTGGCCCGGTCACCCCATCACTCACCTCCTCCTCTTCCTCCTCCTCCCCATCCTGCTGCTTCTCCCCCTCCCCATCCTTTTCAACCTCCTCTCCTCCATCCCTTGATACATTCGCTCCCGCTCCCTTTTTAGCTTCCATCTCCTGTTCTTCCTTACGACCGGCCGCACTCACGTCACCACTAACAGGTGTCGGCCCAGCACCAGGCTTGCTCACACGCTCGTTCGCACCTGCACTGCCAGAAACAGCAGCAGGGGAAGTGGCAGCGGCAGAAGCAGCAGCAGCAGAAACGGCGGCAGGCCGAGCGGGGACGTGCTTGGGATTTCCACTTCCAGATGCTGCACTGTGTTCTTCACCAGAAGCAGCAGCAGCAACAGGAGCTGCAGCAGCAGCACGAGCAGGACTAGAGGCAGCAGGAGTAGAAGAAGAAACAGGAGAAGATCTGTTCGCCCCCATAAGCTGTTTGGTAGTCAATGGTTGCTGTTGCTGTTGCTGCTGGTGTTGCTGTTGCTGGTGCTGCTGTTGTTGCTGTTGCGGTTGCTGCCGCTGTTGCTGCTGCTGCTGTCTCTGTTGTTGCAGTTGCTGTTGTTGCTGCTGCTGCTGCTGCTGCTGTTGCTGTTGCTGTTGCTGCTGTTGGTACTGTTGCTGCTGCTGCTGCTGCTGCTGTTGTTGCTGCTGCTGTTGCTGCCACTGCTGTTGTTGTGGCTTCTGCTGCCACTGTTGTTGTTGTGGCTGCTGCTGCTGCTGCTGCTGCTGCTGCTGCTGCTGCTGCTGCTGCTGCTGCCATTGTTGTTGCTGCTGCTGTGGCTGCTGCATCTGCCCCTGCTGCATCTGCCCCTGCTGCATCTGCCCTTGCTGCATCTGCCCCTGCTGCATCTGCCCCTGCTGCATCTGCCCTTGCTGCATCTGTCCAGTCTGCCCCTGCGCCTGAACCCCGGGCTGCAGCTGTGCGGCCTTGAATCGATCAACAGCCTGGCGGAGAGTCATGTTGGGGAGAAGGTCGTCGTTGCGGTACTGGGTGGACGAGCACTTGGGGCAGCTTCCCTTGGCCAACAGCTGCTGCCGAATGCCTGGTGGAGAGGAGGAAAGGGAGCGGGGAACATTGGAGGAGAACGACGAAAATTGGGACCTTTCAAACCTTGAATCGATCAACAGCCTGGCGGAGCGTCATGTTGGGGAGAAGGTCATCGTTGCAGTTGAGGGTGGACGAGCACTTGGGGCAGCTCCCCTTGGCCAACAGCTGCTGCCGAATGCCTGGTGGGAGGAGGGGAGCGAGGGGGAATGGGAGTGAAAGGGGGGAAAAGCGGTGAAGATTAGAGCCTCGCTTACTCACGCACCACTCACACTGGTTGCAGAAGGGGAGGTGGCAGCAGGCGATGAGCACTGCGTTGCGAAAGAGTGAGGAGCAGAGCGGGCACTTGAGCTGTGGAAGGAGGTCAACCCACCGGGACTGCCTGCCTGCTGCATGGAAGCAGCTGCATGCTGCCATACTGCCATGATGCCATTGCCATGCATACACCCACCCTACCACCATGCCATGCCATGTGCGCGTCATCTCACCCTGCCACCCACCCACCCACCTGCCCACCCACCTGCCCACCCGCCTGCCCACCCACCTGCCTACCCACCCGCCTACCCACCAGCACTCACACCGGTCGCAGAAGGAGAGGTGGCAGCAGGGGATGAGCACGGCATTGCGAAAGAGCGAGGAGCAGAGGACACTTGAGCTCTGGTGGGACCTCTGCTGCCCAACAACCAGTCACTGCTACCCACCCCGCACTCACTGTTTGTTTTTTGAGAATTCTCAAAAAACATACGCTGCAACCGCTCACTGCTGCCCACCCCGCACTCACTGTTGCCTGCCCACCCCATGCCACTACACCCACCCACCCACCCGCCACTCACACTGGTCGCAGAAGGAGAGGTGGTAGCAGAGGATGAGCACCACTCGCTCTGCCGCCATGCCACTTCTTCACCCATCCCTCGCCCTCCTGCCATTCCATGCCACCCACCCACCCGCCACTCACACTGGTCGCAGAAGGAGAGGTGGCAGCAGGGAATGAGCACTGCGTTGCGGAAGAGCGAGGAGCAGAGTGGGCACTTGAGCTCTGGTGGGACCTCTGCAGCTTGAGGCTGACGCATGGGGGTCAGAAAGGGCTCTGTCTCCCTTGCAAAGGCTTGCCTGGTGGGTGGAAGAGGCGCAAAACAGAAACAAAGGGTTGAGGAATGTGCAGTAATAGCAGGCACTTGAGCTCTGGAGGGACCTCTGCTGCTTGTGGTTGCCGCATTGGGGTGAGAGAGGGCTCTGTCTCCCTTGCGAATGCTTGACTGGTGGGTGGAAGAAGCAGGAGAGGTGGAAGACGCGGAGAGGAGGAAGAAGCACAGAGGTGGAAGAGAAGAGGGCTATGAGGGGTTGAGGAATGAGAAAGGGTTGGCATGTAATTGTACGAATGTGTAGTTGTATGCATTTGACAACCACAGAGGCGTGGGCAGAGGCGTGGGCAGTATAGAAGCCATGGACCCATCCGGCATGAGGTGGCCCCCTCCCTGGTCTGATTGCAATGACTCTGATCACTCACTCGCACACCAACTAGCCATCCAAACACACACACGCACCCACATGCAACGGACACTCACTCGCTGCCTTGCTGCATCTCCTGCGCGCCCATAGAAGCCATGGACCCATCCGACATGAGGTAGCCCCCTCCCTCCCTGATCCGATAGAAGGAAAGCCCGTGACCGGGACAGAGACGCTCACAGGCACAGGAGCAAGCACACTCACGTGACACGGCACACAGGCAATTGAGACTCACTCGTTGCCTTGCTGCATCTCCTGCGCGCCCATGGAAGCCATGGACCCATCCGGCATGAGGTAGCCCCCTCCCTGGTCCGGGCGCAAAAAGCTCTTGGGGATGCCCGAGGGGGGCCGCACCCGCCTCACCACATCGAATGCTGGATCGCCATTGGTGGGGCAATGCTTGATGTAGTGACCTGACGAGAAAGCAGTGGAAGTGGGGAAAGGGACGGGGAACTAGTGACTTGGGTGTGGAGGGATGTCTGAGAGGGGTCGCACACACCTGCCTCACCAACTCAATGCTGGATGACAGCTCAATGCTGGATGAATCACTACTCTGCTAAGGCAAGGCTTTATCTGTGACATGGAACAGGATAGAAGAGGCGCCTCAAAAAGAGAGACGAACGAAAGAGAGGCGCCTGAGAACAACACAAGCGTCAAGAGTTACAGCAGGATGCTCACGCGTGAAAACCTACCCGGTTTTTGAGGCTCCTCAAAAGAGAGACGAACGAAAGGGAAGCGCCTGAGAACAAGTCAAGCCTCAAGAGTTACAGCAGGATGCTCACGCGTGAAAACCTACCCGGTTTTTGAGGCTCCTCAAAAGAGAGACGAACGAAAGGGAGGCGCCTGAGAACAACTCAAGCGTCAAGAGTTACAGCAGGATGCTCACGCGTGAAAGCCTACCCGGTTTTTGAGGCTCCTCAAAAGAGAGACGAACGAAAGGGAAGCGCCTGAGAACAAGTCAAGCCTCAAGAGTTACAGCAGGATGCCCACGCGTGAAAACCTACCTGGTTTGTTGCAGCGGTAACAGATGTACCCAGGATGTGGAACCCCATTCCTTTGGGGAAAGGGAAAACGCCCTGAAAATGCACATCATCACATGCACACAGTCACATGCACACAGTCACATGCACACAGTCCTACAGATTAGAAAGACAATGATACGAGTCCCAAGCTGAATGAAGGCTCAATATGGAGCCCTACGGTACGATAACCTTCAGATGTTTTATCAATTCAAATTTGCACGTGATGAAACATAAACGGTGCGGTTATATTTCTACTGGAAGGTCAAAATGTATTGGATCAATGAGTTGCACATAATGCGTACACTGCAATCATTTCCCCTGCAGCCAACTCGCGTGGAACCAAACCAATGTGTTTTGCCCTAAAAAAATCGGGAAAAGTATATAGAAGAAAGATAGAAAGCGCAAACCCCATATTACATACCGCCACCGCCACCCCTGCCGTAGAATCCTCCTCGGCCATAGCCATGGCCGCCAAACTGATCTGGAGGCCTGCAGCGCCACAGAGGAGCAGGGAAGGTGGAAGGCCGGAATGAGTTGAGTTAACCATATGACTGACTCGCTAGCACGAAAACATACTACTACCACCCCCTCCCCTGCCGTAGAATCCTCCTCGGCAAGCCACGGCCTCCAAACTGATCTGGAGGCCTGCAACACCACAGAGGAGCAGGGAAGGTGGAAGGCCGGAATGAGTTGAGTTAACCATTTGACTGACTCGCTAGCACGAAAACATACTACCACCCCCTCCCCTGCCGTAGAATCCTCCTCGGCCATAGCCACGGCCGCCAAACTGATCTGGAGGCCTGCAGCGCCACAGAGGAACAGAGGAGGAAGGAAAGAAATGATTGCTTTTTTAACACTGGCACATAACATGTACCATGGCACCACCACCGCCTCCCATGCCATAGAACCCTCCTCGGCAATAACCACGCCCGCCAAACTGATCTGGAGGCCTGCAGCAGCACAGTGGAGCAGGAGACGGGAGGAAGGCGAGAACAAGTTGGTTGAACCACTGACTTCTTCGCACATACAGCCATCCCACAAAAGTCTTCATCATAGCCACGCCCCCCCCCAACCAAATTGACTTTTGAGTCGACTCAAAAGCCACCTCGGGAGCAGGAGACGGGAGGAAGGCGAGAACAAGTTGGATTGAACCACTGACTTCTTCGCACATACAGCCATCCCACAAAAGTCTTCATCATAGCCACGCGCACGCCCCCCCCCCCCAAATTGATCCGGAGGCCTGCAGCAGCAGCACAGAGGAACAGGGAAGGAGGAAGGCCGGAACACGCAGGCAAGCAGGCAGGCAGCAGGCAGGCACGCGGCCCACCCCTGCCAGTGCGTGGTGGCTTGGTTGGTCCACAATGGCGGACATCATACGAGTCTCCTCATCCACCTGCTCCTGCACTCCATTCGCCCCATGCCCCCCATTCCCTCTAACCCCCCCATGCCTCTTATAAACCCCCACCCTCAGCTCACCTCTGCCAGTCCGTGGAGGCCTGATCCACAATGGCGGACATCATGCGCGTCTCCTCATCCACCTGCTCCTGCACACTCGCGCCCACACCCCCCATGGCTCCGCCTCCCCCTGCCATCTCCCCTCCTTGCCCCGCTCCCCCCATCCCCCCTGCTCCCCCCGCTCCCCCTGCCCCCATTCCGCCCCCTCCCTGTCCTCCTGTGCCGCCCAGCGCCCCCCCTCCTGCTGACGCGCCCATGACGTTGGCGGCCGGCGCTGCTGACGTGGCAGTTGCGTGGCCGCTGACGTCACCGTAGATGTCTGCCAGGTCATCCATCATACCGTCCATGTCATTCTGATAAGATACAACGCAGAACACAATCAGAAAACCAGCTGAGGATATAGTTCAACTAATAACACCGATAACTCATAACAGGCCTATTGCACAGCAGCTAGGTCACAAAAAAAGTGGTAACATCTGAAATCACCTTGAGGCTGGAGTGCATCCCGAAACCACCATCTTGAAGGTTCGACCAGCAACTCACCAGCTGCTGGTTGTAGCCGTTATAAGCAGGGTAAGAGAGCGCCTGCTGCTGCTGCTGTTGCGAATGGGCTTTGTATCGACTCAAAAGTCGACTCACTTGTAAAACAGCACTAATGGTACTAAAAAAAAAAAAAAATGTTGACGCTATAACCAGAAACTCACCAGCTGCTGGTTGTAGCCCTTGTAGGTCGGGTAAGAGGGCGCCTGCTGCTGCTGCTGCTGCTGCTGCGCCTGAGGCTGAGCCACAGCAGCAGAAGCACCAGCGCCAACACCAGCACCAGAGCCTGGCGCATGTCCACTAGGCCTGAAACTGAACGGCAAGACGGGGATTGCAAGGACGGAAAGCCGTGAATACAATAGCACTCTCTTTTTGTTTTGTTCTCTGAAGCGCCAGCAACAGGGTCTGGCGCAAGTCCACAAGGTCTGAAAATAAAGGGAATGTGAGTAAGCAAATATCAAGGGCATGTGATGTAAGCACATACTCGTCTGGCTGCTGCTGAGGCTGAGGCGCCACCCGGGCTCTTGATCTTGGGATTCTCGCATAGATTACGCTCGTGTGGAGCGCACTGGCTGTTGACTTTTGAGTCGAACCAAAAGGCAGCTAGAATCTATAACAAGGTTGTGAGCACATACTCATCTGGCTGTTGCTGAGGCTGTTGCACCACCCGGGCTCTTGATCTTGGAATTCTCTTGATGATGACGCTCGTGTTGCGCGGGACTGGCTGGTTGTCGTCGCCATACTCTGCAACCCCATGCAGCCAAGCACTAGCATGGATCCATGCGCTAAGAACTGAACTAGTACTAGCTGCGCCGCAAGGCATAAACAAAAAAACGAAAATTATGCTTGCTTAAACATTTGGGACTAAAAACAAACGAGGCTCTACAAGAAAGGTATGGCGACCAGCATGGTCACAAACGTCTAAGAATACTACGCTGACGGACCTTGAAATACATAAAGCAGATGCGCACAGGAAGAAAATTATAAAAGCAGGAAGTGAAGCAGCAAGGAATCCAAAGAAACAAGCATGAGAGGAAATAAGGAAACACGGCGGGAAGAAAACAGCTGCAGTTGTGGCAAATGCCGATGCGACCATAATGGCAGTGTGAGCAAAAATCAACCCTGCAAAGGTCAAGTGTGCGTGATGGATCTGACGGCTCCAAGAGACGGTTGTTGGATCTACGGCTACAGACAGATTGTTTGACAATCTTAACCCTCTCTAACCCTGTCCGGCTACTTCCATCTATCTCCGTCCAGTTCGGTCTAACTCTGTCCAGCTCTGTCTAGCTCCATCCAGCTCCATCTAGCTCTGTCTAGCTCTGAATCAGTGTCGCTGCAATAGCCGCTGGGCCTGATATAAGCTGGCAACTCCGTGCTGACTGAGGTAGTCTGATTCATGTGGCGATCTGCCTGCGAAGGAGGTCTCATCAGGATGTAACCCTAAAGAGTCGTCCAACGTCCAAACCATCAGCCTTCCCCCTTCCATTTCTTTCAATAAAAATGAATAACATATGAACAATATGGATTGGCCGGCGGCCAAAACCAAAAAAGGGAATCAATTCATCCTAGCTAGTCTAAAACATGGCACAGAGGGATCAATCCCGAGTGCCGTTGCTATCTCCTACCTTCCTCTGTCTGCGCATCGAAAATCTGGACATCCGAGTCCATTCCAAGCCCCTTATGCTCAATAATTCGGTCCTTAAGATTCGCGACGGAAATAAAATGGCCATCCATGGCCAGCGAATCAAACTCCTTCGCGGATCGGAACTTGAAGTGAATTGACATGGTCGAAGCAGCTGCTGCAGGTCCCGAATTCCGATACTCCTTCCTCTCCTTCCTTCAGCAGAAATGTTAACTTCAAAGAAAAGAACGAGATATCCTAAAAGAACGGACGTATAACTAAGATTATTAAACCATGTGCTGGTTGAGACACACCCGATTTTGACAAACCCAATCGCAGCACAAAACCGTGGAGTGAAGAGGAAGCAAGCCTCTGATGTTTCCGAGGCGAAGGATGATCAGATCAGATGTAGCCAGTGGATGATCATTGGTTTGTGAAGGATGATGATGAGAAGGATGGGAAAGATGGTGAAATATGGCGTTAGAAGTGACCTCGATGCGAAATCACGTCCCTGTCAGAAGACATACGCAATTACAATGAGCTTACATGATCTGTATGAACTTGAGATATAAACTTAGCATGCTATCTGAAGCTGACTACGCGCCATTTTATTTATGTTGATGATTAAATATAAAAACAAAATTTAATTTCACATAATATTCACTCAATTAGTGGCTTTCTATTCAGTCTCTGACTTTTTGCCAGTGGATTGCAGGATGGAGATCTTATTGAAACAATCTAGCACTCGTGCATTCACCTAGCTGCTTTATTGGAGACATGTATATATTGCGTACGAACTGTGTGTTGTGAAGCTGAATTCTCAATTTTGAACCTTCGAGCTTGTCAGTCCTCGCCAGTTGAAGTTTTCCCGCCAAATTTTCAGAAAGACCTCGGCGTGTCTACTCCAGACCGGTTTTCTACGATGCAATATGTTACAGTATGGTTGGTCAAGATGAATGTGTAAGGATGAGGAAACGCACCCAAACTCAGCCCAGCCGTACGACAAAACCGAAGGTCCCAGACAGCTTCTAAAAAAACTTAGGACAGGGTGAACGATTCTAGCATACTCCAAGCCACAGAGCACAAGTTCTTGCTAGTTGCAAGTATTTCTCTATTTCCTATTAATGCGCACGGCCTGGCGTGTAACAAGCCCCGAAAACGGTTGCTACCGGTCTCCGGATACTGTAAGCGTTTCTTAGTAAGGAGCTTCATTTGTGAGTACCTGAGTTGTGGGCAGGGCCGAGCGCCGTGCGATGTGCGTCTTCTAGCGAGCGTGTTTCAAATTGAGCAACGTGGACTGCTTGTCTGCAACCCCTACAGTCGAAGTGCTACTTCTGTCATAAGACGGATACTACTTGGCTTCTCTGCACAGTCGCGACTCGCTGCATCGAACTCGCAACCTCGCTTCGCGTGTTCGGCTGCGGTTGTGCAGCCCGTTAAGGGAGTCTCTTTGCTAAGTGCGGGTCCGGAGATGGTGCAGAAAAGGCAGCGGGCAGAGGGAGAGCCGAGCAAGCGCAAGTCGCCTCGCTTCGCGGCTGCGGAGAACCCTGTGAAAGAGGATAGAGAAGATCCGGCGGCCTCGGCTGAGAAGCACAAGGATTCTACGGCTGGCGATGAGGCGAACCCGAAAGATCTTTACGCGGTAAGGTTTTTAACCGAGGAATTTCCTTCAATTCGTTTTCACCTCATCTCTTCGCTTCCACTTAGTACGTTTGACATCGAATCGCAGGTGCTCGGAGTGAATCGCGACGCGACGCACGCGGAGATTCGCAAGGCGTACCACCGCATGGCGCTTCGGCTGCATCCCGACAAGAACCCTGGCGATGCGGTGAGGGAAGGGAGGAGGTGATGCAGAGTATTTTTTAGAATTCTCAAAAATACTCGGTGATGCGGTGAGGGAAGGGAGGAGGTGATGGGGGAGAGGGGAGAAGAGGTACGATGGAACCCCACTTAGGGGGTGTGTCTTTGCGTGGCAGCGGCATTGTTTTTGAGTCGACTCAAAAGTCAGCGATGCGGTGAGGGAAGGGAGGAGGTGATGGGGTAGAGGGGAGAAGAGGTACGGAGGGGCGAGTACCTCCCGGAAGTCTGATGCGCTTCGGCTGCTCCCGACAAAAACCTGGGCGATACGGTAGGGAAGGGAGGAGGTGGTGGGGAAGAGGAGAGAAGAAGTAGGGATGAGCGTGCTGATTCTCGGCGAGTATCTCCTCCCAATTCCCCAAGCATCAAACCTTTCTAACCATTTGATTTCCTGACCATTCAAGCTTTCAACAATCCAACCTCTCAACCATCCAACTAACCTCCAAACCCCCCTGTGTCCCCCAGACGGCCAAGGAACGCTTTCAGGCGCTGCAGCGGGTGTTTGCGGTTTTGGGGGACGCTGAGAGGCGAAAGATATACGACGAGACTGGTTGCACTGGCGATGAGGACGGCGAGGACGGCACTGTGAGTGTGATTGTCAGCAATGAGATTTCATGGGAATGTGAGTGGTTAAAGCAAGGGGATATGTGGGGTATGTTGATGTTGATGCATGATGAGACAGGTGTGTGTGTGTGTGTGTGTGTGTGCGTGCGTGCACGTGCGCACATGTGTGTGTGTGTGTGTGTGTGTGTGTGTGTGTGTGTTGATGTGTAGGCATTCCGTTTGCTGCTGGATTTTATTTCCCGTGCATTGTCTACTTGCATCATCCTTCTGACTGATGCGGATTGTTCTTCGGTCTTCTAAAGAATCTCTGCCCTGCATACATGATGTGCTTTATGCTCGCAGGGACTCTCGGGCAACACGGTTGCAGACCTTTTCAAGTTCTTCCGGACGATGTATAGAGAGGTGAGAGGGAGGTGAGAGGGAAAGGAGAGGAATGTGATGTGCTCTGTGTTCGCAGGGCCTCTCGGGCAACACGGTTGCAGACCTTTACAAGTTTTTCCGAACGATGTATAGCGAGGTGAGAGGGAATCAGCCAAGCAATGAGATAGCGGGGGTTGATGGGGAGGTTCCCGGAAATTTGTGGTTGGTGTTGTTGTGGCATTCGAGCGGTAGTAGCAGAGCAGGAGAGGCCGAGGAGCTGAAGGTCTTTTGGGACCCGTGCATTGTGCAATCCCCTTCTTCCTCTTTTCCTCAACTCATAATAGCAGACATGCGGCGTTCGAGCGGCAGTACAGGGGGTCGGAGCAGAGCAGGAGAGAGGCCGAGGAATTTCAAGGTCTCCCTTGTGACTTGCGGAAAACCCCTTCTCTTCTCCCCTTCCCCTCCCTCCAATCATACCTCCCACCTTCAGATCACAGTGGCTGACATTGTGGCATTTGAGAAACAGTACAGGGGATCGGAGCAGGAGGCCAAGGAGCTGAAGGAGTTGTATGAACGATTCAAAGGGCGGATGGACATGTGAGTTGGGGGGGAGAATGAATGGGCGAGATGTGTGTGTAAGGTAGGGGAGTGAGTGTGGGAGGGGGTCGGAGCAGCAGGGCAAGGAGCTGAAGGAGCTGTATGAACGATTCAAAGGGCGGATGGACATGTGAGTGGGGGGGAGCGATGTGAGTGGGGGGGAGCGATCTGAGTGGGGGGGAGGGATGTGAGTGGGGGGGAGGGATGTGAGTGGGGGGGAGGGATGTGAGTGGGGGGGAGGGATGTGAGTGAGAGGGAAATCAAAATAGTTGCCGGTATTCCAAGTGTGCACAGCCAGAGAATGGCTCTCATTGATGCAAGGATATACTTGACGCTGCTATCACGTGTCCCCTTCACGGTCTGTCCTCTCGCTCCCTCCCTCCTTTGCTCTCTCTCTCTCACCACTGCCTCTTGAGTCGACTCAAAAGTCACCGCAAGGATATACTTGACGCTGCTATCACGTGTCCCCTTCACGGTCTGTCCTCTCCCTCCCTCCTTTGCTCTCTCTCTCTCACCACTCGCAGGGTGCAGGAATGCCAAATCTGCCTCTTTACCTTCTCTTCCTCCTCACCTTCTCTTCCTCCTCACTCCTCTCGCCCTTCACCGCCCACAGGGTGCTGGAATGTCAGGTCTGTGCACGGCCGGAGATCGATTCTCATCGCTTCAAGGATATACTCGATGCTGCTATCGAATCAGGCGAGGTGAAGGTTACTAAGGCGTACAAGAAATGGGCTGCGGAAGCTGCCAAGAAACCTGCTCCTGCCGACCCTCTTGCTGCGGAGTAAGGATGCTTCAGAGATTGCCTCCTCCCTCCTCTTCCTTTTGTTGACACATGCACTCACACATGCACTCACACTGACATGAACACACGCATGCACTGCACACACACACACAGGCACTAACCCTTCTCCCTTCTCCCTATTCTTGTATCCATACCTTGATCCCAATCCGACTAGCAGCAAAGATGGGAGCAACCAGGAGCTGTTTCCATCCTGCACGCTCACCTCCCTCCCCCCCTCTTTTGTCTGTACCTTACCCCAATCCGACTAGCAGCAAAGATGATAGCAACCAGGAGCTGACGGCCCTCATTCTCAACCGCCGATCAGCAAGGGCTCAAGCTGCTGATAACTTGTTTGAGTCTCTGTAGCCATGCTCGTCCCTTCCCCCTGTCATTTCCCTTCCCTTCCCCCTGTCATCTCCCTTCCCTTTTCCCGGCCAAAACAGCAGCAAATACGAGAGCAACCAGGAGCTGACGGCTCTCATTCTCAATCTGCAAGAGAATGTCTGTCCCTTGTTGCTGAGACACCCTCTTCTGTCCCTTGTTGCTGAGACACCCTGTTCTGTCCCTTGTTGCTGAGACACCCTGTTCTGTCCCTTGTTGCTGAGACACCCTGTTCTGTCCCTTGTTGCTGAGACACCCTGTTCTGTCCCTTGTTGCTGAGACACCCTGTTCTGTCCCTTGTTGCTGAGACACCCTGTTCTGTCCCTTGTTGCTGAGACACCCTGTTCTGTCCCTTGTTGCTGAGACACCCTGTTCTGTCCCTTGTTGCTGAGACACCCTGTTCTGTCCCTTGTCTGTCCCCTACCCCCACCCCAACAGCAGCGAATACGAGAGCAATCAGGGCCTGATGGCCGTCATTCTCAACCGGCAATCAGCAAGGGCTCAAGCTGCTGATAACCTGTTTGAGTCTCTGGCAGCAAAGTATGGAGGGAAGGGAGGGAAGCGAGGAGGGAAGGGAGGAGCGGGTAAGAGGGGAGGTGGGAAAGCAGGGGGAAAGGGTGGGGGGAAGCTGAGGGGAGGGGAGGAGGAAGAGGAGGAAGGGGAAGGTGAAGAGGAGGGAGAGAGAGGGGAGGTGGTGGTGGTTGGGAGAGGAAAGGGCAAGGGGAAGGGGAAAGGGAAAGGGAAGGGGCTGAATGGAAAAGAGGAGTGGAAAGAACCTACTGAGGAAGAGTTTCAAGCAGCGCGTGCACGCATCCTGAAAAAATGAGTTTTCTTGTTTCCCTTGTTACAATTGAAGGAGTGTGTCATGTTCTTCGGACTGAGGAAGAGAGAGAAGTGGAGCTTTATTGTGTCAGTACTTCATTAAGCAAAACAACTCTGTACAGTTTGCACTTTACAAAGGTCCTCTTACATCTTTTTATGATGCAGGCATGCACAAGCATATGCACAATCCATGGCTAGTTCCTGTAGACACATCTAAAACCACTCGTCTAACAGCATCACCGAATAGCCCTTTTACCAAGGGTAACTCCTGTTCTTGTCCCAGTATCGGGAGTGACGGGAGCGAAAGTTCATGTGGCTCGTCGATTATTTTTGGCTGCCCGGCTCCCAGTCCAAGTTGCCCGTCCGCATTCTTTCCCCAAACAAATAGTTGTCCTTCGTCTGGGTGATGGATGGGAGGGGTGGAGGGCAAGGGAGAATGGGAAATTGAAGGGCAGAAAAGAGTAGCTTGCATAAAAAACCTACGTGGATAGGATGGTGTGGGAGAGGGGAAGGACATGCATTCACATCTGCTGGCATAATGACTCAGCAATTGTGCTGTATTGCTGAATATATTTTTAAAAACCCCATACCTCTCTCACACAGTGAACAGTGCCCAATGCAGGCATCAGCCAGCTTGACAATGTTGCCAAAGGAACCTGGCTCTGTTGCAAGAACACCTGGCTCTGTTGCAAGAACACTGGCTCTGTTGTAAGAACACCTGGCTCTGTTGCAAAAACACCTGGCTCTGTTGCAAAAACACCTGGCTCTGTTGACCAACCCACCTGACACAGCAGCACTCCAAGCACTCCCTGCTGCCACCCTAGCAATCATCACTCCAGCCAATCCAGGAACGACACGTGGCACTGGCTGAGTCAGCAGCGAGTGCTGACCCAATTGGCCGCTGCCGCCCCTTCCCCACGACCACACGCGTCCCTCGTCTGGTTGTGGGACAGGAGAGAACAGGGGAGGGGAGGGGGGAGACGGGGGAGGAAGAAGAGGAAACAGGAGGCCATTCGCTCGTGCAGCAACTCACCATCCACTGCCAGCGTGTGGATGCCAGCAGCAGCAGCAGCCAGGCCTTTGACAAGAGGAGCAGCCAGGGCAGTGATGGTGCTGCTGGTGCGAGCCAGCAGCCAGGGGAGGAGACAAAAGGAGTGCAAGGCACACCTCGTACAGTCTCAAAAGGAGTGCAAGGCACACCTCGTACAGTCTCAATAGGAGTGCAAGGCACACCTCGTACAGTCTCAAAAGGAGTGCAAGGCACACCTCGTACAGTCTCAAAAGGAGTGCAAGGCACACCTCGTACAGTCTCAAAAGGAGTGCAAGGCACACCTCGTACAGTCTCAAAAGGAGTGCAAGGCACACCTCGTACAGTCTCAAAAGGAGTGCAAGGCACACCTCGTACAGTCTCAAAAGGAGTGCAAGGCACACCTCGTACAGTCTCAAAAGGAGTGCAAGGCACACCTCGTACAGCCTCAAAAGGAGTGCAAGGCACACCTCGTACAGTCTCAAAAGGAGTGCAAGGCACACCTCGTACAGCCTCAAAAGGAGTGCAAGGCACACCTCGTACAGTCTCAAAAGGAGTGCAAGGCACACCTCGTACAGTCTCAAAAGGAGTGCAAGGCACACCTCGTACAGTCTCAAAAGGAGTGCAAGGCACACCTCGTACAGTCTCAAAAGGAGTGCAAGGCACACCTCGTACAGTCTCAAAAGGAGTGCAAGGCACACCTCGTACAGTCTCAAAAGGAGTGCAAGGCACACCTCGTACAGTCTCAAAAGGAGTGCAAGGCACACCTCGTACAGTCTCAAAAGGAGTGCAAGGCACACCTCGTACAGTCAGTCTCTCACATACTCATTTGCTGCTACACTCACCATCCACTGCCAGGGTGTGGAAACCACCAGAGGCTAGGTGTGTGACCGGAGCAGTGATGGTGGTGACGCGAGAAGGGACGAGTCCTGATGACGCTCGGCCCAGCTCGCCGTTGTGATTCCCTATTGGTGGGGAATGGTGGGAGGAGGGTGGTGGGAAAAAGAGGGGCAAGCAGCTGAGTGTGTGACAGGAGCAGTGATGGTGCTAATGCAAGTGGGAAGGAGGCGACTTTTGAGTCGACTTAAAAGTCACCTCGTTTTGAGTCGACTCAAAAGAGGGGCTAGCAGCTAAGTGTGTGACAGGAGCAGTGATGGTGCTAATGCGAGCAGAAAGGAGGCCGGATGATGCTTGCCCCAGTTCGCCATTGTGATTGCCTGTTGGTGGGAATTGGGTGGGATGAGAGTGGTGGGAAAAAGAGGGGCAAGCAGCCAGGTGTGTGACTGGAGCAGTGATGGTGCTACTGCGAGCGGGAAGGAGGCCAGATGATGCTCGCCCCAGTTCTCCATTGTGATTCCCTCTTCGTGGTAGCACGCATGGTGGGGCAAGGTGGGGCGAGGTGGGGCGAGGTGGGGCGAGGTGGGGCGAGGTGGGGCGAGGTGGGGCAAGGTGGGGCGAGGTGGGGCGAGGTGGGGCATGATGCTAGACGCTGCCCTGTATATAGTGGGAAATCGTGGGACGAGGCGATGGTGCTGTGGCAGTGATGCCAGGACGAGGCAGGGCTGGGTGGTTATGAGACAGAATGATGGGAGGAGGTGGGTAACAGTAAGTAGAAACTACCGCCCCTCACCTCCCCACGTCCACATACCGCCTTCGCAGTCCACAGCAGCAGAGAAGACCCCTCCGCACGTTTGCCATCACCCCCACCCCACCCTCTCCTATCTCATCAATGCATTTACACACCTCCCCTACCGCCCCTCACCTCCCCCTACCGTTCCTCACCTCCCCACGTCCACACGCCACCCTCGCAGTCCACAGCAGCAGAGAAGAACCCTCCGCATGCGACCAATGAGACTCCGCCACGTGGCAGGCCCTGGGACGCTGGAAACTCGACCGGGATTGGCCGAGGCACGCACCCTTCTTCTCCTATCGCGTCCACTATATGGGGGATACCCAGCCGCCCCTCCCCCTCATCCCTCCCCCACGCATAAACCCTGCCATCAGTACTTAAACCCAGAGTATGGCTCCCCCCAGCTGCTGCTGATTTAATCTCCACACCCTCCTCCAGCCAATCAGAGGGCGCCACGTGGCAGGGTACATCCCTCCTGGTGAACTCCCCATGCCCCAACACCCCGAACCCGCCATACCCCCACGTGAACAGTTCCCCTCGCTCAGAAACCGCCAAGGAATGCAACCCGCCAGCCGCCGCACTGCGCACTGCCGTCCCCTGCGGAAAATCAGGGTTTAAGGTTGGGGAGAAGAGGGAAATCTCGTTCCCCAGACCCAGCCTTCCGCCGTCCCCTCTCCCCCAAGCCCAGAGCCTTCCGCGCAGCCACATGAGAGAGTGGCTGATCCCACAAGACACGCCCGCTCGTAACTCCTCCTTAAGGCTACTAAGGGATGCGCTTCGGTTCGAGCCTGTGGCTGGTTGACCTGCGTATGCTGCTGCTGCGGCAGCGGCGGATGCTGCTGCTGGTGTTGCTGCGTCTGCTGCTCCGTACGCGTCAGTAGCTGCGGCTAGTTCGGAGATCTCGAGGGAGAAAGATTCGATTCGCCTCGGGCTCCACTCCGGATTCTCTTCGCCATGCCCCAGCTGCCCGGAATCTCCGCGGCCCCAACTCCACACCTCCAGCTGACACGTGGCATTCTTCAAGCTGCTGCTGCTGAAAACGCGGGAAGCTCCGGTTTTTTCAGGGGCTGCGGCGCCGGCATCGGCTGCGGGTTTCGCGGCGTCGAGTGCGGGGAGAGATGACAGGCAGCGGTGTTGCAGTACGGATGGTAGCGGGGCTGCTGATATCGAGGACGATTGAAAAGTGCGAAGGAGCCCTGCGTGGCAAGTACGCAAGGCAGCGACTAGTAGCTTTGGGTTGCTGTTGGCCATTTCATACCGCTAGATATCAAGGTCAAAAGGAAAAAAACATAAAACTAGGAGAATTTAGCGACGGGAGAATCCTGGGAATGTAAAGAAGAAGGCGCGGATGCGGCGAGGGATGCGGCGCGGGTTCCGGCGGAGTATGCGGGCTGGAAAAATGAAAGAGGCAGGGCGGACATGAGCAGGGGGCTCACATTTCAGTGATGCTGAGCACCACTCATTGAGAACGGTTTTATGCGGTTTCAAGCGATTGTATGGAGGAATGGGGAGCGTTGTTGGACTCCTTCGATCACTGAGCTGTGATTTGCGGGCGAAGCAGGAGTTGGGTTACTCGTTGGGGCTGAGCATGCCCGACGAGCCCCAACAAGTAACCCAACTCCTGCTTCTTTCGCGAGCGTAAACTGACTTTCGTGATCACGGAAATGCATTCGCCGCAGGTGATCCATCAAGCAAGCCTCCAGTTTTCGTCAAACTTGCACTTCGAGAGAGTAACAACCGGCAGGTTGCCACTCTCGCCATTTCGCAGTTCGTCACATTCCCAAATCTCTCCAGCTGTAAGCATGCTCCAGCCTCCTATTTAGAGTCTAGACAGGCAAATGCATGCCTCATAACAAAAGCTTTGGCTGCTGCATGCCCTGCTTTCTACTCGGCGCGTCTCTTGGGCTTGGGATCCCACCCAGGTCCAGGAGCCACCTTGCTTGCGTTCAACCACAACACACGGGTAGATCGCATCGTCTTGGCGCAATGGCGAGGATTTCCGTTTTGAATCCAGTTTCATCGCAAACGGAACGAGGTATTCGATCGAGCACAGCTCCCGTCCCGTCACGGATGCGTCGTGGTCGTCACAACTGCGCAACGCACTGATCTCGCTATTTTCCGCGATGTCGAAGCTCGCGAGCGCTAGTGTGCGAGTGAAGCAAGTGCTGACAGATCCCAAGGTGCAGGCGACGAAGATCAAGGCGCACAAGGTGAATGTGAGCGTGCTCAGAGAGATCGCTATTGGCCTGTCCCTCGGAATCGTCGGCGGTCTGGTGTGGAAGACGCACCACTGGAACCTGCGCCGACAGACGGAAGAGCTTTACGCAGGTGAGCTGTGCAGAGTAAGAAATACCTGACGAATTTCAAGATGCTTAGCTTAGGGTGGTGGCTTTCCTTCCAGATCTCGAGAGTTTCCTTTTTCGTTTTCGGCGGAAATGGCTTGCATGCAGTATGCAGGTAAAAAACCCGTTGGAAACACTGGTGGTGAGGTCCAGATAGGCCATGGCCCTGGAAAGGGAGAAAGGGGTTTGGTTGTAGCATCTTTCCCTTGGTTCTATCTTTGCAGATCCGATGCTTGTTGTGGTTGGATGACACTCTTCACAGGTCCCACGCTCGTGGATCCCAACCAGCCTACATCATTAGTGTTTTCGAATGGATGCTAGTCAATTGTTCTGAGAAGCTTTTCCGCCTTATGTTCTGTGCCCTTCCCTTGACAGGCCTTGAGACAGGCGAGTTGAAGACTGTATTTGATAGTTGAGGATTGGTTTCTTCAACGGACAGCATTCCTTAGCTCCCTCATAAGGTGGTCATTTCTCTTGTGTATGTTTGTGTATAAATGCTGTAGTATCGTAGTCTAATTTTCCCAGATGGTGACGATGTGTTACGAGTGCAATTGAGTGAACGAACGAGAATTGCACTATCGAAGCAAGAATACAATGAGCGAGGGCGTGAGCGAAGAATATATAGCGAAACTACAGTGGTAACGGTAATGGTCTGTGGTAGTCGCGCGACGAGCCTGGGACTGAGGTTGGGAAAGTGTCGAGGCGTAGCCCCGGAGCGCGGGTTACCAGCCGAGCTGTGAGGTCGGGATGCGATGTGCGAAAAATGGCGGGATGATTGTCGATGCGATGATCGCGAGTGGTAACGGTGCTGACTGAGGTGCTACAGTGATGTACGCGTTGAGCAGGGATGCGAAGTAAGGAAAAGGGATTTTCCTTACACTACCCCCCCCCTCCTAAGGAGGTCCTTCTTACGAAAGTGTGTGGACATCTTTGAAGTTTCGGCTGCGCAGATATTCGGTGAGGACAGGGTGGTTTTCAATTCTGTCCAGGGGAACCCAGTTGTCCTCGGTAGGTGTACGGTCTTTCCAGCGGATCAGGAACTCGATTTTTCGGGCTCCTCGGGGGTCGCGAACTCTGTGACTCAGGATTTTGTCGGGGGTGATGATTGGTTCGGATGGTGGTCGTGCCATGCTGGATGGTCGGTGTCGTGGGAGTTGGCCGGTGGATGGTACGTAAGGGCGAAGCAAGCTGACGTGGAACAAGGAGCTGACGTACCAGTCAGCAGGGAGGAGGAGGTGCGCGGTGACAGGTGTGATCATGTGGCTAATTCGAAATGGCCCACAGTATCGGGGGCTGAGTTTTGGAGTGATGGGCAGGCGGAGGTTTTGAGTGTCGAGTAAAACGAGGTTGTCGGGCTGATAAGTGACAGGTCTGCGGTGGCGGTCGGCGTTGCGTTTAGCGATGATGTTCGATTTTTTTATTGCTTTAGCTGCCCTGGTCCGTGCTGCTTGCAAAATCTCGGCAAATTGTTGCGCACGTGGAACGGGGTTGTCAGGATTTGGGGTCATGGGTACTGTGGGGTCTTGTCCGTGATTCAGGTAAAACGGCGACTGTTGGGTCGTGGCAGATGGCGCGTTGTTGTATGCGAATTCGATGAGTGGCAGCTGCTGCTCCCACGTGTTTGGGTCGTCGCACGTGGCCCTAATGAGCTGCTCCATGGTCTGGTTTGTCCGTTCTGTCTGTCCATCGGTTTCGGGGTGATACGATGAACTGAATTGTAGTCGTGCGCCGAACTGCTGCCACATGTTCCGCCAGAAATTGCTGGTAAACTTCGTGTCTCTGTCGCTGATGATCGATGCTGGTATCCCGTGCAGTCGAACGACGGTGGTGATGAAGAGTCGGGCTGTTTCCTCGGCTGTGATTGTTTTCTTGCAGGCTGCGAAGTGTGCCATTTTCGTCAGTCGATCGACGACGACCAGGATCGCGTCATTCCCACTCGCCCCGGCTGGTAACCCCGTGACGAAGTCCATCGTCACCTGCTGCCAAGCACGCTTTGGAGGTGGGATGGGTTGTAATTGTCCAGCCGGCCGCTTCCTGGTTGACTTCAGGAGCTGGCAAGTGGGACACGATGCCACGTGTCGTTGCACGTCGGTCAAAATTTCAGGCCAGTAATAGTACCGCTGCAGCTGCTGCCGTGTTTTCTCTACTCCGAAATGTCCCGAGGTAACTCCGTCGTGTGCCTCCTGTAACAGTAATTCCCGTAGTAGTGTGTACACTGGTACCCAGATGCGGTCGGTTCCAGCTTTTACGTAATAGACTCCCTTGGCTGCTGCGAATTGCTGCGAGTTTCCTCCTTTGAAGAATGGGTCTGTTTGATATCCGTGGGTAAATAGTCCTGTCAGTAGCGGACTGGTCTGGGCGAGTAGTATCACATGGATCTGGGCAGTGGGGCGGGTCAGTGCGTCGGCGATATTCGAGGCTCCTTTTTTATAGGTGACCGTATAATGGAAGTTCGACTCGAGGAAGTCGAGCCACCGAATCTGTCGTGGGTTGAGGTGGGGCCGTGCACGGAGGTACTGTAGGGATCGATGGTATGTCCTTACTGTCACGTCTGCGCCGGTCAAGTAGCAGCGCCACACTTTGAATGCATGCACGATCGCGAGCATTTTGCGGTCGTGTATCGGGTAATTTCGCTCAGGCGGATGCAGTTTGCGTGATTCGTAGGCGATGGGTTGGAGGCCGTTGCCGAAGTCCTGTAACAGTACGGTTCCGATGGCGATGTCGCTCGCGTCTGTAACAACCTCGAAGGGGCGATGTGGGTCAGCGATGCGTAGGACGGGTGGTGAACAGAGAACAGTTTTCAGGGCAGAGAAGGCAGCATGCTCTTTCTCCCCCCACGTAAAAACAACCCCCTTACGCAGTAAATCTGTGAGTGGGGCTATTAAGCGTGCCATGTCGGGGACGAACCGACGGACGTAATTAACGAACCCTAAAAAACTCTGCAGTTCCGTGATGTTCGTCGGGGGACGCCACGCGTTGACAGTATCCAGCTTCTTAGGGTCGATTTCAACTCCAGCCTCCGAAATAACGTGTCCTAAAAATTCTAGCCTGTCCCGAAAAAACTCGCACTTGGAGCCCTTGGTGAGTAACCGATGTTCCGCTAAAATTTTAAAAACTGCTTCGAGATCGACTAAGTGCTGCTGCTTGTCCCGACTGTAAACGAGAATGTCGTCAAGGTAAACTATCATGCATTTATCTAAAAGTGGCCTAAACGCCTCGTTCATGGTCATTTGAAATGTGGCGGGCGCGTTGGTCAGCCCGAAAGGCATCACCGTATACTCGAATGACCCGTACATAGTTCTAAATGCTGTCTTGGCGCAGACCGAAGGTTCGACCCGAATCTGATGGTAACCTCCTCGTAAGTCT